AGCTCGAGCTTCCTAAGATCCAGACCCTTGGGCTTGATAAACCTTCTATCAATCAAGGTCCCGAATCAGACAGTGCAGCCAAGATTCCACCCAATTTGCTGCGTTCGAATACAGACAACAGTGTTACCCTGGACATAAAGATGCCAGGCCGTTATCCTCGTACCAATGTGGCAGCATAGGACCCTCACCCTCTCTATCTTCATCTCCACATTTCCCTTTCCATCTCACTTACCCTATCTTTTCAATTTTCTTTGATATTCTCTATTCTTTTTTGTCTGTACATGTACCACTCCTTGCCCCTCACACAACTCGTCCTTGTTCATCCAAGGCGTTTTGATCCTCTCGTTGGGACATTTACCACACAGGTCCCGTCTCTCCCACAGCATAAAAGTCATGCTGCATCGGCGTTCGTTTTATCGGCAGGGTGTGGCGCAATGGATTTCTTCGCTTATTGTTTATTGTTTCATGGATTGATTCTTGATTCCCAGTGCTGGGCACTAAGCACCCATTTCTTTCGTTTTCCGGTGGGACTTACTTACTGTTTGAGATTTTTTTATTGAAGTCTGGGGCTCTTTTTTTTTAGAAAAAAAAAGATGCAAATGACCATATTCCAGTTGAATTTTCTGTAGTCTTCCGAAAGGATACTGGGCGTGGCAATTTAGTAACTGAAATACGCCATGCAGCCAGTTATGAGCGCAGGTTTTGTACATGTATGTATGTTCCAAGGTTGGTGCAGTGCTATTGAGATGCACGATAAGAGCGATAAGGCTAGTCTGTATGGTCAGGACCTACAGCATACATAATGTGCATATGTAGATGCAATACATCAATCAGAGTTAGGGATGTTGGGTTTCATTTGGAATAAAAGATGGGGTTTACATGTAATTTGTCTCTTAATAGCTTCATCTCTACTATCATTATAAGCTACATCGATGTATATAAATAAAGTCTTAGCTATACCCCGAGGCGGTGACGAGTTTTGCCCGAGTTGTTCAAGTACATATCGGAATTCTGTGTTTTCTTCTCTCCATGATATTTCCCTCCTAAGAGTCTTTTATAGGATCCGGAATCCGAAGAACAACTCCTCTTTTTGTCCCTTCTTCCTCGTCTACTCCTCTTCCCCTCCTCTATCCTTGTACCACATTCAACTTCTTACCTCCACGCTCCATCGAGCTCCGGAATCATGGGTAGGTTCTTCGTGTCCTCATTGATTACACTTTTCTTTTTCGTATCATTGTATTACTCGTTTGTTACTCTCATCCGCCTGGTACACTCGAAGGTCCCCGGTCATTTCACACCTTCATCCAATCACCGTGTCTTGTCTCCCCCCCCAAAGATTGAACCTTGACGCCTGATCCTTTCATCTTCCCCCCGCTTCCTCTCTTTTCCCTATTTCTTCCTATCTTTTGGTTTCTTGAGATTCTCCGCTAACAGCCTCATCCGCCCAGCCGACGTCTATCGACCATACCAAGTAAGTTTACCGAGAACTCCAGTTTCCTTTTTTTTGTCCCATTTCCGCCGATTCTACAAACCATTCCAATGTTGCGCATTGCTCTGAGGTCGATATCAATGATCGCAAGAGCGTGGTCAGTGCGGGGGTGGAAACCGCCATGTCTATTCGATCAGATATCTTCCAGATCTGAAGATCTGTGAACCTGAAGGGCAAAGGGGAAGAAACAATTTACCATCGCATTGTTTGATTCCCGAAAAAATAATGGCAGATGTGTGCGCAAACAACGTTTTGCCAGTGGCCCCAAGCTCCTACCCCGGAGGTCCTCAGTGCAATACGAGACAAACACCCCCCTCAAAGCTGAAGGTCACCTGACCCACGCCGAGGACCCCGACCCCCCTCGGAGTTGCGCCTTCCACGGTAGCGACTGCGCTCTGAACACGTCTCTTGCTCCTTCCCATCATCAATTTCATCAAAATCATAACATTGCACCGCTTTCGCGACCGCCTTTCTTATCTACTTTTTCATGTCTGACCATATCCAGCGTGAGAGGTCTCGCTCGCCCCGTCGCCGTTCTTCTCGCAGTCCTCCCCGACGTACCCGCCGTTCGTACTCCCCTCGCAGTCGCTCCCGCAGCCGTGGTGAGCGCGACGAATACCGCCGTCCCGAACGCCGTTCCCGATCCCCTTTGAGTGCTTCCGGAGCAGCAGCTGGACCCCCAGGCTCAGGCTCTCCTTTCGGTGGACGCAGTGGATATCCCCCCGCTCGATTTGAGGACCGCACCGTCGCCAAGGAGAATATGATGCAGACCGTTCGCGATTCGTCCCAGCAAGACCGCCGGGTCTATGTGGGCAACCTTTCGTATGATGTCAAGTGGCATCACCTCAAAGATTTTATGAGACAGGGTGAGCAGGGTTGCGCATTTGGAATGGTGATTTGCTGGAACGTTTGAAGCTAACCAGGGTTGTGACTTTGTGTTTTACAGCTGGAGAAGTTCTCTTTGCCGATGTTTTGCTTCTTCCTAATGGAATGTCGAAGGTGGGCGCTTATATGTAGAGGGGCTAGTTCCTTCTATTTCCCCCGATTTTCGTGGTTTGTGTAGGGTTGACGGGTGGACATTGGCTGTCCTGATATTGTAGGGATGCGGGTGAGTACTTTCTTGTCTCTCTTCAAATTGAATGCTCTTACTGACGTGTCTGCTAGGATTGTGGAATATGCAACCAGGGACCAAGCACAAAACGCCGTGAATACGCTCAGCAACCAGAGCCTGATGGGTCGCCTTGTTTACGTTCGTGAGGTATGTCTCCGCAGAATCTATGGTGTTGTGATTACATGATCTAACTTTAGTCCCCAGGACCGTGAATCCGAACCCCGCTTCGTTGGTGGTCCCCCACGCGGTGATTTCGGCCCCGGTGCCCGAGGTGGATTTGGTGGCGGTGGTTTCGGAGCCCCTCCAGGTGCAGGTGGTGGTGGCCGCCAGATTTATGTCTCAAACGTTTGTTCCCTCTTTTACCCCCGTTACGCTAAGTTCTGGCAGGCCTTGTTGACCGTTCGGTATAGCTTCCTTTCAATGTTGGCTGGCAAGACTTGAAGGATCTGTTCCGCTCAGCTGGTAAGTGCATATCGAAAAATCCCCTTGGACTTGGATTCCTACTTTTCTGTCTAGTGGGAGGTGAATTGACCCGGACTCCGTATTACAGCCCAGCAGGGTGCCGTCATCCGTGCCGATGTGCACACCGACCCTACCGGACGTCCCAAGGGCTCTGGCATCGTTGCTTTCGAGTCTCCTGATGATGCGCGCAACGCCATTGCGCAGTTCAACGGATATGATTGGCAGGGTCGTCCCCTTGAAGTTCGTGAAGATCGTTTCGCTGGTGGTGGTCCCGGCTTCGGTGGTCGTGGTGGCTTTGGCGGTGGCTTTGGCGGTCGTGGCGGCTTTGGCGGTCCTATGGGCCGTGGAGGCTTTGCTGGTCGCGGAGGCTTCGGCGGCGGGTTCCCTGGACGTGGCGGCTTCGGTGGTCCCCCTGGTGGCCACGGTGGTTTCCCTGGTGCTGGTGGATTTGAGCACGGCGGTGCTCCTCCTGTTCCCTCCGGACCCCCCAACCCTTTCACGGATTATGCCACTTCCAACGGCGAAAAGAGCGCTGTCATCTATGTTCGCAACGTAAGTTTTTGGATGTGCGATGGCCAAGCATATGGAATGTGGAATGCTAACTCGAATCCAGTTGCCCTGGTCTACTTGCAATGAGGACTTGATCGATCTGTTCTCCACCATTGGCAAAGTTGACCGCGCTGAGATCCAGTATGAGCCCAACGGCCGCTCCCGCGGTACTGGTGTGGTTCAATTTGATACTCCCGATACTGCCGAGACCGCAATTGGTACGTTTCCTTTTTCTTTTTGCAGTTGTCAATATTCACATACTAATGCTCTTCTTCCGCAGCCAAGTTCTCCGGCTACCAGTACGGTGGTCGTCCTCTGGGCATCACCTTCGTGAAGTACATGAACGTTGCCCCAGGTCCCGAAGAGATGATGGAAGGCCAAGAGTCGACCGTCGGTCTGACCCAGGACCAGATTATGTAAAGCACCTTCGTCCTTGTTTTACCTAGTCACTTTCTTTGACAGGGGGGCGTCTGGCTATTTTCTTTTCGCAATTTCTTGATTCGTGATTCCCTTATTCCCATTTCAGTTCTTTCGAGGCTTCGTCCTTGCAAAATGGGTTTCGAGTGCCCCTTTGGGCTGATCAAATGCTTCTCAAATGGAATGAGCCTTTTTCTTCCAGTGCTTTGTTTTGTAGGCCTTGTAGTTTATCTACTATTCAGAAATTCGTATGTTAGTTTCCTACTGTAGGGGGCGTTGGTCTAGGAGTTTGGACTTTCGTTTCAACCACGCTTATCATCCCCGATCGTTTCTGGTGATTTTCTCTTATTTCGTTCGTATTGTCCCATCGCATCCTCTAGGTCCTATGTCATTCTTGTCTCATTTTGTTTTTATCCCGTTTCTTGCTTCAAATAGAGGAAACATCTGGGAATTGCGCGGGATTTATGACTCTGGTTCTTTATCCAGAGCTGTCATTTGACTAAACAAACATATCTGAATGCTTCTAAGCTTTCACCGCTACTCTGGACTTTATACACTTATATCTCTGGTGTAGGACTCGCTGCTATTAGAAGTGTGTCAACAGAATTATCTGATCTCACCCTATGTTGATGTTATGTATACAATAGTGTGGTCGAGTGAAGCTTTGAGAAGCTCCAACTTGTATCTTTTGTGTGCATATACCGTACAAAAGATACTTAAGCCACAAGCTGCATGTGGGCTTTGTAGAATGATCACAAGCCCCATAAAAGTCAAGTATAGACTCTAGTACATATAAAAAGCAGTCAAAATACACGTAAATTATATATTATACCATGTATGTAGCTTCTGCATACACACCAGATCCATTTGGATCTTATACTACAAACGCACAGACCAACCTCACAATTACATCTCCAACAATCACATCTTCACATCTACCTCTCCATTGACTCCCCCAATCACACCAAAACCATGGCCTACCTCGCCCGCACTCTCCCAAAAAGGGTCATAACCCCCTCCCTAACCCAATCCATCCGCCAAACCCGAGCACTAAGCACACCAACCCTCCAATCCACACCAACAACCCGCACACCCCGAACAAACCAAAGACACCTCCTCCCCCACCGAACCTACCACTCAGCCCTACACGCCCGGCTCCCAGACCACTCCTACACAAACTCCCAAACCGCAATCCTCACCTCCGCACTCGCGCACGTGCCCACACACGGCTTCTCCGCCACAGCCCTAACCCTCGGCGCGCGTGACGCCGGCTTCCTCGACGTCTCGGTGCAACTCCTCCCGCGCGGCGAATTCGACCTCATCCTCTTCTGGCTTGCTAGTCGACGGGGTCTGTTGCGCGGGAAGGTCGAGGAGGGCGGATTATTCCGGCGCATTGCGGCGGAGAAGGGGAAGGATGTTCATGAGCTTGGTGTTGAGGAGAGGGTTAGGGGATTGCTTTTGGAGAGGTTGAGGATGAATGCCGAGGTTAAGGATGTTTGGCAGGATGTGAGTTTTTCTTTCTTTCTCTTTCTTCCCTTTTGAAGCATATATATGCAGAAGGAGAACCAATTCCCATACTAATTTTTGTTTTATAGGCTCTTGCGCAAATGTCGCTTCTTGCTAATATCCCCCTCTCTCTTACGGAGCTGCATGCCCTCGCTTCGGATATTCTTACACTCTCTGGTGATGACTCCGTTGATGCGACTTGGTACACGCGCCGTCTTGCGGTGTCGGCTATATATGCCAGTGCTGAGGTTGTTATGACGCGTGACCCGACGCCAGATCTTGTGGAGACGGCTGCGTTTGTGGAGCGTCGGTTTGAGGATCGGAAGGCGCTTGCTGATAAGATTACTGGGATTGGACAGTATGCTGGGTTTGGGTGGAATACTGCTATTGGGCTGGGGCGAAGCTGGGGGTTGAAGATTTGAGGTGACTTTCATACTTGGTATCGATTTCCAGCCTACTTGAGGTTGTGGATGGAACCTTGGAATTTAACTGAAGCAGGCTTTGCTCGGTGGTAGATCGATTTGTACTTTTATTCCAACTATTGTATTTATTATTGTAAACTACTCCATTCTTGTCAGCGAAAATACTCTATTTTGTTATTCTGGGATCCAGTCCTCGCTGATATCCTCACAAATATCCATGTCATGCAAAATAACTAGAGACATAGCCTATCATGTCCCAACCTGTTCACCTGAACAGCCACGCTTGATGCCGAAAAAACCTGAAAATGAACCAAGAGCCAAGAGTATGTCTAATCATGAAAAGCAAGGGAATTGAACAGATCGAGAAGCAACGCTTAATGCAGAGAGACGTTCTGCACTGCCTCCTCTACGCTGAGAGGCGCATGTTTATCGGCAGCACTATCGGCTGGGCCATCTACCTTGTCTGTGGTAGCCTCAGATGGGGATATCAACAGCGTGGGGGACTTTGGCGAGAACGGATCTGAAACAACACTGCCCTCTGGTGACGGTTCTTGCTGAGTAGACACGGGCGTGTTTTCAGCAGTCTCGGACTCCTTCGATAGACTAACACTGCTGGCCCCGCTCTCTACCGAGTCACTCTGTCCATGCTGGGGCTTGCCACGTCCCCAACGGCGCGCTTTTGGCGGAAGTGGAGCCTGCCCATGCCGGCCTGTTCCAGCTGCTGGGACTACGGGCCGGTGGTGACTTGAGGAGGGTGTGTTGTGACTGGAACGGCGTGGTGGCGGGAGAGCAGGGGGTGGGTTTGATACGGCCCGCCGTGGCCGTGAAACTGGGGGTGCAAGAGTGGAAGCTAACCCAGAGTCGCGGTGATCGGTGGTAGGTGTCTGTGACTGTGGGGTGCTGGAAATGAAAACGGTGGTGGGGCTGACTTCGATGCCTTCGGGAATGGTGTTCCCGTCGCTGCTTGTGCCAGTAGAGTGTTGCTCTTCTTCATCCACGGCCAGACGGCGCCCGCGCCAGCGGCGAGATTTCGGTGGTTCTGGTTTGACTTTTGGTGGTCGGATTATTGGTGTCTCGTCACTGAGAGCGGCGGCAGGGACTGTGTCTTTCCGGCTGGGGGTTATTATGCCGGGCTTTTCGTGCTGTGCTGCAACGGCCTGGACGCTTAGTGAAGATGCGGATGCGGGCTCTAGGTTCATGCCGAGCCGGTGGATCAAGCTGTGTTTCCGACTTCCTGGTGCGTTAGACGAACTATACGAATCCATTCGCGTTGGTGATGTTGTATCGGGTGAGCTAGCGATTGTGCTTGATCGCGAGAGTGTGCGGGATATGTCGAGCTGTTCGCCGATATCTATGGGTGACGCATGCTGCTCGCCTTGATCTAGAACAGTCTCAATTGTAGTCGTTGTCACTTGAATGGGAGTGTCTTGCGCTTCTGCTGCGTCGGGCTGTTCATCGTTGCGCAGCCAGTCCACTGTCGCACACCGAGCAACAAGTCGACGTGTCGTTTCATCAACTTCTTCGAAATGCATGATTTTCTCGTGTTCTGGGTCGCTCCCATATGATACTTGGCCTCGAACAAGTATACTGAGTAGTCTTCGAAGTCCATCACGCTTGTAGTGCGGCGGGTCTCGTAGCTGTGTATGAGCTAGAAGCGGGTAAAGAACACGTAGGTATGTATGCCGTAGTGCAGAGGCCTCCTCGGGTAGATCAAGCAAATTCCGTATCAATATATCGACCAGAACGTGTAGATCATTCGTGAAGAAGTACTCATATGTGCTAGGGGTGGTAAATATGAGATAGAGAAGCTTCAATGTGAGCAACTGAAGGGATGTCTCGGCTGCATGTTGTCAGTCGTCGGTTTTTTTTTTGAACAAGAGGATGACCCATTACCTTCACGGTTGATAAGAAGAATTATGTTCTCCCCGAATGTCTTATACATTCCACCATACACCGAGAGGACCTTGATGACCTTGTTAGTCAAGTGGGCAGAGGGCCGGCCGTCCACTGGATCGTGAGCCGAGATCATGAACTGCTCGTTCAGAACAAGCTGTGTAATTTGTCAATCCTATTCTAACCAAAATTGGCATGAGCAAGTACTCACTAGCACTCGAATCACGGGGTAATGATACGGATCGGTAACATCGTAAGAGAGATCTTCGATGATATCAAAGAGACAGCGAATGAAATCGTCATCCACGAGAACTGCACACAAGCCCCATAATCAGCTACCGGCAGCAGCACATGTGTATCCAAAACGTACCCAAGTCTTCAATTTTGACCCTTTGTATCCTCGACATCTCATACACAAGGTCCATCAACAAACGATGAAGACCCGCGTCGCCGTCCAGATCTGCCCTCCGCATCGCCTGTATAAGCTCGAGGAGACGCGCAAACGCGCCCTCCTCATTCAGCATCTGAAGCACAGCTTCATTCTGTCGTCCGTCAAAGAGAATGAATGACGCAATGAAGTGGAGTGTAATCGGGTCATCGTCCTGCAAGAGACCGTAGAGAATCTGTCGTCGCACGTAGTCCGCATGTGAGGCGAAGATACTCGACGTAAATAGCTTGTAGGAACAGCGCGAGATATCTGTTTCCGATCGGAGGTATTCATCTAGGAAAGGGTGGGCGTGTTAGTCGCAGTGGAAACAAAGTTGGGGGGCGGACGTGGCGCTGCTCGCGGGAGCGTGTCGGGGTAGAGACATCGCTTCTCGGAGGTCGACGTGCTGTTTACCTTTGTGTTGAGTTGTTAGACTAAGATAAGCTCGGAGGGCGTCGTCGATCTCATCTTCAGAGTCACAGGGCTTGGAGACGATCGCTTGAAGTTCTGCGAGAACTGGTCAATTGTCACGTCGCATTATCTTGGAAAGAGAAAAGAGAGGGAGAAACAACATACCAGTCCAGAACTCAGTCTCCGAGACCTCAGGCTCCATTTCCCGTCAGACAGCTCATGCCGGTTCATGTGCCGGTTTGAAGAGTTGGGGAGAGTTGAAGGGCGGGGGCTTGGGAATTCGAGAGTTCCACTGCGGGTCAACCCAAGGTACGCACTACGTTTGACTACTTCGAGGTTCAGGGGACTACCAGGTACATGCTATAGAAGAAAGAACTTTCATTGGTATCAAAATGCAAAACAAAATTATGCAACCGGACGCAGGAATGGATGCGCTTCGGTATTTCTGTAAAAGTTAGTTGTTGGTCCAGTGTTGTTTACACGGCTATGTCAATCACTCACAGAACATATTTATCCAAGTCCACGACACTAGGGTCGCTGAACAAAAGGTAGAAGTACTTCAACGTCTCGCATAGCCAGAAAGACTCCATAGTATCTTTATGGACCGGTTTCTGGGCTGTGACATCGTTGATGGCCGCGTTGGCCAGCTCCGTTCGGGTATACTTCGAGATGGCCTCGAACATCTGCCACCCCTTGCGACGCCATGATTCGTCACCAGTCAGGCGGTACATGATAAAGACCGACTCAATTGCCTCGGGCCGAAGGTAGTAGTTCGGCGATGGGATACTGATCATGCCTGCTGGGAGGTGGTCTTTGCCGACTTCGGCGATGTGAGGCGAAGCGGGCGATGAAGTTGAACGAGGTGCATCTCGGTTCTGAAATTCAGCTTCACTTGGAGTTGGAGTCTGGATTGGAGCAATAGATGATGCTTCCGCGTGCTTTCCTACTGCGAATCCATCACGCTTCACCAACACATCGCTATCGTGAGGGTTTAATGAGCCCGGCATGGGGATGGGAACCGTCCCGCTCGCGGATCCTTGCGGTGGAATGTGCGCAATCATGTTCACGCGCTGTTCGTAGCTGCTCTCTCCAGTGCGGAACGAGTGTCCTGCCCCGGGGTCTACGCGCGAGTAGCGTGCCACGCCAGCCTCGAAGCGGGCTTGATCCCACTCGCAGGCCGAACCTTTCTCGCAGGGCAAAAGGCGGAAGCGTTCTGGCATAATTCCGGTTTGGGTGGACTCATAAGCCCAAACACAACCGTCGGTCAGTTTTGCTGCGAGTTCCAGATCACCATCGATGCCAAAGGCCTTGGCCCCTATGGCGAACATGCCGCCGACGAAACAGGTCAAGTGAGTGCCATCGTATTCAAGATCAGTGGGAGTGAGCTCTGTGACCTTTCCAGGTGTCATTGGTGCAGTTGAGGCCATGAACCGAATATCACGTCCACCTTTCACCATGGGCTGGAAGAGAAGATTTTTGCGGGCTGCAGTGGCTGCCTTTTTATACATATTCAAATATTGCTCGTTCAGGCCACCCAGCAGAAGGTATTCCTTGGGCAGGTATTCGTAGGTCGAGTCAGCCATTCCTCCCATGGTGTATCCGTTATCGCGGGGTGAATTGGGAAGTCCTAAGCCGCCATTGCATTTATCTGCTGAGAGTGTATTTTGCTCGCGTGCCTGAATGCTAGCTTCACTCGCAGCTCGCGTATCATTGACAGGTTGGGCATGTCCTTCGAGCTCAGCGTTTATGTCGCGTGGGATCAGCTTCAAATAACTTTCAAGGTCTGTCGGTGCAGCGTAGGGCTTGCGGGTCATCGTAGTAGTGCTCTTGGTCGTACTAGCGGCGTTCTGCTCGCGTGGAGGGCTGCTATCACGCGGGGGAATGTCCTTGGAGTACTTGGAACATCCCTGTGCATTGACCCGTAGAGGCCACAGTCCAGGGATGCTGGTTGAGTCTTGGATCTTCTCTAATTCGTTGGTAATCCGTGCAATCGCATCATAGTATTTGTCCCGCTTGGTCAATTGAGCCAAACGGGTAAATTCCAAGGAAAGCGATCCAATTTCAGCCAGACCAGCTCGGGAAGACGCCCGGTGCGGTCTCGCAGCATACTCTCTAAGATTTGTTAGTCGTCGCCCACGGATAATCGAGATAAATTGTGACAAGACTTACGGGGCCCAGCGATAGTAAAGGTGCGGCATGCGGTTAGGTGTATCAAAGGCGCCAATGAGAACCTCAGCAAGCTCCTCTGCTTTCTCCAAGAGTACCGGGTATCGATGCCCAGAAATGTCATAGGCGCCCAAAAGACCTCCAAGATAGCGGATAGTTGTCTCAAACATCGGAATATCTGCTCTTAGTGATGTTTTGAAATCAATGTTTTTGATCACATCCAAAGCCTCGGAGAATTCATCCTTCAATTGCATAATCCAGAGAGTATCAATGGAATCAACCAATGTCGCTCCCCAGCCATTGAATGGGTCTTCAAACTCTTTTGACAAAGGTTTGACTTCGTCATGTCCCATCGCGACCCCCTTGTAACCTTTCCAAGCATGCGTGAACTCGGCCTTGATAGCGCTAAGCCGTTGTAGACGCTCTTGTTTATCGGAGCTCGACTCATCCTTAAACTTCGCTTGGAGCTTGGGGATTGTTTTGGACTGTTCCTTTGGCAGCTTGATCACCTCCTCTGCAGGGACGGGGAACCGTTCCGGGAACTTCCTCCACTTGGCCGTTAGGACGCCAGGTTTAGGGCGTTCCGCTTCCCTTCTGCCCGCCCCTCCATTATCAATCTCCTCCCCGTTTCCACTATTGATGTTCTCCGTTTTCGGTGGTGACAAGCTGTCGGTGCTCCCCACCTTCGGCGGTTCCTTCACGGGTTCCTTCGTGGAGCCCTTCGCGGAGTCCTTCGGCCCATCCTTGATGGGCGTCTTCACCGGTGGAGTGTCGGAGGAAGCATCTTTAAACCGGCCACTGTCCTTTGAGCCGCTATTGGGACCCACGGGCGAGATGATCTTCTCTGGCTGTGGTGGGGAGGTGGAGCCGCGGGAAGGATCAGGAAGCACGCGGTTTCTGCTCTCCTCGATGGCGGCAGCAGCGCCTGGATTTTCAAGTTTGGGTGTCGCGGGTTGATTCGGATGGGCAGGGTCGGGTGAATGAACGCTAGTAGACTCTTCAATGACCGTATAGCTCCAATCGCGTGACCGCGCAAAGTGGAAGAATGTGAAGACGACAGCCGCCGCGAATATCACCAGTACTCGATATCGACGAGCTCGAATCATCGCGAGCTGTCACCTTTCAGGTATTCTTTTTCAAGAAGAAAAAGAAGTATGTTGTAAGAGGAGAAAGGAAGAAAAACACCCAGGAGATTAGCCAAGTCCAGATGGAATCACGAGACTCCACAAGTAAATAAAAGGGTCCACATGCGAGAGCCTCCCCCGTTCTATTTTGGTCTTTCTGTCTTTCTGTCTTTCAGTCCTCTTTGACATTTTCAGTTTCTTCAATTCTATATATCTCTTCCCTTTGTATTTTTCTATCTTTCTATACCTCTTCTCTCTGAAAGTGACCCCTTCCAATGATGTCAATGATTTCAACAATTCCACAACGCCCTGGAAAGCCGCGGTTCTCTGGCCTCAAACATAGTGGGGATCACAGCCCAGACGCCATTTTTTTAGGGCGGATTTCCAAGGCTATTCAACGCCGATCATTGGCCCCAGATTCCGGACAGTGACTGAATTAAATGCATGCAACCCGCAAGGGTCTTCAAATTGGCCTATCATCAATCGACTCTTCCGCTAGCTCATATGAAAGTGCTGCCTCTGTTCCAAATGTGGTCCACAGGGCTCATCTCGTATTGGTGTGCGAGTAACCCCTGCATTATGCAGCCGACGGGGATACATAACACTCCGTTAAATACTCCGTACGATTACAATCGCATGCCGTGGAGCTTCGATGTATACCGAGGAAAAGATACCCTATACACGATATTTATCTATAATTATCTTGATACAGCATCATGAATCGACCAACTAACATGTGGATACTGTCGGCCCCAGGGTCCCCGAAGGGGTTAGAAGAACAACTCCATAGACTAACATTGCTATTCTTAGAATATGCAAAGATCCAAGAGCACGGTCAACTTTGACTAAATATATATGAGCCATGTGGAGCTTGGGTTTCAGCCACCCATGTTCCTACAATATATCCGCCATACTATAGGGAGATGACCAATCCATGAAAATGTTGTCTAGTCAGGTTACTAACTATCTAGGTATGACAGCTAAACCTAATTGCATATATTCATAGTATATGGGTTGTGACGCATGTCGGCACTTGTGTGATGAGTTATGGCAGACATATCAATGGGGGCCCTATGGACATATCTACTTCACCCTCGTCCTTTACATTGGCTCAACAGCTTCATCACTCGAATCAAGCACTCCGACTGGGATATTGACTGTTCCATAGAAGTCCAAAACGACTCCTCGTTCGCATCACTTGACTTTCCAGTTGTCAATACATATGGGGGAAAAAAGCCAATTTCCGTCAGGAGTACCATACTCAGGTAGACCTTTAAGCCCAGTGCCGTTTCATCCCCAGTCTCTGGAAGTAGCCAAACAAAGCATTCCTAGGCACATATCCAGCATGTGTTCTTTGCCATGCAGCTGCAAACGAGCCCTCAATTGGACCCAACTCCCCAAACCCAAGGACTTCAAGAGCCCACGGTGTCAACAACGCCAGAATGCCCAATGCAATCAGAGTAGCGTACACAGGATGGTCCGTTGCAAAGTCGACAGCAGCGTTTCTGCTTTGGGTTGCAGCGTCAGACGCAGCTCGTGCCATGTCCGCACCGGATTGGATTGCATTCTCTAAGCCACGGAGGATAGCTTGTGCTATGGCGTCGGTCCAGTTATCGGTGGAGAATTCCTCGTTCAGTTCTTTGTGGAGCGAGTAGGGCTCGTCGGCATTGAGGATCTTGGTGACAATAGCAGAAGCGATGGACTCCGGGGATCGGGGGTCGGTGGAAGGGTGTGGCCTTCTCGCTGATCTTCCTGAGATACAGCCGTAGATGAAGTCGAGCATCTTGTTTCAGAGTAGCAGCTAGTTTGTGTCTTGTGGATATGAACGTGGCTTATGGGCAAAGTGGAAGAGCAAGGTGCGTTGAGAGTAATAGTGTAAACAGGAAAGAGGGAAAGAAGGAAAGGAGGGAAAGAGCGAAGGAGGGGTACAGCGGCAAATCAAGTTCATACAGGTGCTCAAGACATATCGGTGGTGAATGGTGAATATAAGCGCCTGATGTGCATGGGTGCATGCGGCCATCCTGCAGGTATTTCTATATTTATCTGTGTACTTAGGACGACCAACATACTACCTACATCATAACAGACAAGATAGAGCAATATAAAATGTTCGCTAGAAGAGACTGAACTCCGCATGAAATGGTCATATATCGTGTCTGAAGCATATAAGCCATGATCTCCCAAATACCACTATCCTAGAACTTGCGTAGGCGAGTGGATATCTAGATCCCCACATTTGTCCGCCTGCCTTCGGTGTTCGCTTTCTGGAACTGCTGAATTAAGCCCAAAACACCGCCCCCGCCAGCGATGGCGTCAATATTTTCGCCTTCATCGCCCTCAGCGGGGTCACCCTCGTCCCTGCTGGGTGGGTTCATGCGCCAAGAATCTCCGAGGTTACTGTCACTAGTGCCTGCACCTGCACTGGAAGTACCGGCACGAGCACCGGACTGCCGCGTTGTTGAATCATGGCCGTCTTGTGATGATGGTTCTTCCTCGTCGTCGATAGTATCCGTAGATGGGTGCTTGGAACGCCCGAGCCGGGAGCGCTGCTGCTGCTGGGGGGTGGTTCTGGCTGCGGCGCGGAACCCAATGGTCGAGGGTTGGTGGTGCGGGTCAAGGAGCATGGACGGGGCAGGAGAGCGGTGATCGAATCCTCCCATTTGCCTTAGTTTAGAGGCGCCCATCATTGATTGAGGGCCGAACGGCATACCGGAGGTCGGCCCAGTGCGTGTCTGGAGATGGTCAAGGCGATCATGGAGAGCACCAAACTCGGCCGCAGTGGGCGAGCCGAGGGTTGGTAAGGTTGGTGGTGGGTGGAATGGTCGCCGGCTGGTAGGTTGATTGGTGGTACCGTAGTTGTCCAAGAAGCCATAGTAGGAAGCAAGCATTTTGCCGTCTTTAGTTGAGAAGTAATCAGTGCGCAGATCCTGTTTGCCAGGGTTCCGACGCGCGGGTCCAGCTTGGGAGAGCACATTGGTGCCCTTCTTGAAATCAAAGACGGCAAAAGAGCAAAGATAGCCTACACCGTCAACGTGCACGGTGAACTCCCGGAAGAAGTCAATGAGACGGTCACTGCATTTGGGCAAGCTGAACCACAGGACAAATGGAGTAAAGATCATACTCAAGATCTCTTCCAAGAATATCACAATTTTCATTTGATAGAGGATTGCGAATTCTTTCCGGACGTCATCGCTATGCAAACGTCCCTTCCATCCGGACGGGAAGTAATGTGTAAAATCGATCAGCTCGAGGAGTGCATACTCAGGGTCGAAGACATCGGTCTCTTCGGGTGCCAGCCCTCGCGCAAAAGCCCAGACTGTACCGAAAATACCAAGATAGAATAGCACAGTCCGGTCGGGAGTAATTTCAAACCCAAGGAAGAGCTCTGGATCTATCACCGAGGCAAGAGCCAACACTGAAGCAAGGGCCCCAGAGATAAAAGCAACGAACCGTGCCACTTGGACGGTCTTATCCTTGGGAAATTGGTCAACATAGCGACTGGCGAATGGATAAGACATGTTGATTCGACGCTCAAAGAGATGCCAAAGCTCATTGAACTCGCGAAATTTCCATTCTGCCATAGGTGTGTATTGACGGGAACCGATTTGGCCCGGGTTCTTCTTGAACTCGTTGAAGTAGCGGAAGAAGTAGTGCATCATAAAATAGACCACAATAAAGGGCGCTACGAAAATATTCATGACGCCAGCGAAAACAAACCGCCGACGTAACCCATCACTTAGCGCTCTTCGATGCGTGTCCTTGAGGAACAGGGTTCGCAGTTGGCCTTGCTCATTAAAGACATAATCCATGACGCAAAGATTGAGATTCCATTCCATGGTCCGGGAGAAGAGTTGTCGATTTTTGAGGAATGGAATAGGGAGAGTGAGGTCCAAAATATCCTTGTTTACAAGCGCGATCATGTAGTTCTCCTTGCGCATTAGGCGGTTGGCAATGTCGTGAGCGTCCATTCGCTGCTTTGACTGGCTGCCTAAGAATCTTCGATGCTTGGTAGAAACCGCGGCCGCGGTAGATGGATTTGAGTCTCTCAACGCCATCAGTCGACTGACCACTTCTTGCCAGGAAATCGTCTGGACCTCGGCATCTGAAACGCCGAGAAGGTGGAGATAGAAGTCATGCAGATGTTTGAGCCTGCGAATGTCTAGCAGGTACTGGAAAAGCTTCCCAATCCAGAAGAAGCTAAAGAGCCATAGCAAAAATGTAGACGACCCGGACATATTCGCTGTACATTGGGGCACAAGAATATCATCCAGAGTCTTGCTCCGCCGGACTTTAGTGTAATCAATGCAGTTGGTCAAAAATGTAGAGAAACCAACAACGAAAGCAAATGTCCTGTATGTATTGTCAGCTTCTCCTACGGTTCTTTGGGAGGGGATTTTCATGAACTTACAAGAGGTTCAGCACCCGGGTCAGCAGAATAGACCAAATTCCGTTCCCTAAGAAGTATATGTAGACATCCTTTAAGAAGTTATCCAGGTCCTCGACGTTTGCCCACCGCCACATTGCTTTCTTCTTGGGATCAACATTGGCAAGACCCGGGTGTTGGCCGGTGAACCATCTCCCTATTGGATGGCCGCTTTCACTGGGAGGTGGTTGACGGGCTGCTGGTTCATTCCAGCGGGCTCCAGTAGGTTGTAAGGATGGCCCAGAACTGGGGGTTTTTCGTCGATTCGAACGATTATGAGACCGGGGAGGAGGAGGCAACTGTGATTTCAGATCTTCGTGATGACCTTCCACCAGCAGAGATTGAGGGACATCTTCATCGTGATCATCAAGCTCATAGCCAAGTGGCAATTCTTGTGCCATCCACCGAGGCTGGGACAACTTGCGACGGCGGGTGCCAGATGGAGAAGCTCGCTGTTCAGGTGCCTTCCCCGACCGTGCTCGGCCAAGCAGTGCAGTGCTGGGGCTGATTATTTCACTGTCTTGTGCATCCGCTAGTGCATCCTCCAGTTCCCGGTCACTAAATTGTTCTTGTTGGTCTTCTATGACCAAGCCTGCACGTTCTTCGAGATCAGAGTATTCGGACCCGGCGTCATGTTGGCGAATAGTCTCGTAGACCGATGGCGAGCCCGTTGGTGGTAGGAACCGTGATAATATGTTAGAGGACATCATTTTGGATCAGACTAAAGGCTATAGTCAGACCACTCATGGCAACAGCTTCAGAAGCCAGTGATGGTGGTGATGAAATGCCATCCAGCGGCGCTTGATGATGCGGAGAAATGAGGATCACTACCAATACAGCAGGCTGAATGTTATAGGGTTGGAAATGGGTAGGCCCCTGATTAAGGTGTTTGTACCAGCTTATAAAGAAGTATGCATCTGACCTCCAGGCCTAGTCCTCGTGATAACAGTCACCAAGAGCTGTGATCATTCCCCAGACCTCCCGATAGCTATGATGACATAAAGAAGGGGGGAAATGGCGTGGCGCCTCAGGCAGCTATCTAAAGTCACATGCGTGGTGGCAGCCCACGGATGAATGGCACGTGATTGAATCGGCTTTATCTTATCTTCACAGATGGATATGGATGGATTTAGGGCGGCTATAAATGCTGCTTGGCAAGGGCTGGGTCATATGTGTAGAAGACGGAAGTAGGGGGGTTTTAATTATGGGGGGTCTAAGTAAGTAGGTAGATTTAACAATATTTACAGTGACCCGCTACTCTGAAGGGCATAGAAAGCAAATGATTTGACATATATAAACGACCGCATATAGATGCTGCCCTCACTAGAATGTTTTGGTGATGTAGTGTTGGCCCTCTTTGGTTGCCTTGAAACACACAGTAACTAGACGAGGAAAGAATAAAATTGGTGTAATTCAGTAGATTCGCCTCGCAATCTGACAGAAAATTGTAAATAGCTGCATCCAACCACGATAAGTCCAGTTGAGTGTAGACGTACATTTTACAGTAGCCCACTTTATTCACAATTCATGGCTTAAAAAGATGGCAAAAATGAACCGAAAGCTCTTCAAGAGTGGAGATCAAATACTTGGAAGCTGGAACTTGAGGAGCTTCGAGGCCAGGCTCGACGAGATGAGCCGTATTCCACCCTCGGCTGTGTGCATGTTTGCAATTCAGGTACGAATCATCTGTAAGGTAAGAAAGATCAGTAAGGGAGGCACTGCGAGTGGTGGATCCATTCTAGAGGATACACACCAACAAAATAGCATTGTTCCGGGCCTGGTGCTCCTGCATCTTTTTCAGCCTTTATATACATGGCCTGACTTGGTTTGCACACAAGTGGCAAACTTCCATAGTCGCAGTAGGTGATTCCTTCGAACAGATCATCGATGCCGAGCAACTTCAGGACGCGTGCCGCATGACTGATATAAGCATTCGTAAGTAGCCATGGCTTGACTTTGCTTCGGTCAAGTCTCAAGAGCAATGCTCGGAGCGTTGGGCTTGGTCGCAAGATGGAATCGAGGGGAAGCGCGTCATCGACTTCATGATTGAAAACCATTGGATCGATTTTATGATGGCGAGTGAGACCTTCAAGAGCCAGACCATAGTCATTGTAGTATCTTTCCTGGAGCACAGTCGCTTCTTGAGAATCAAGGGCGAGGTGTTTGCTAATGAACTGCGCTTTATACAAGTTAATATTGTCTTCAACAAAAAGAAATGTCCGAAAGGTAGATCTCACTGATCATTTTAAACATCTCATCGTGGATATTGGACGCTATATCACTGTATGTCAATTACTAGAATATTTTCACTCTTGATTTGGTCCGCGGAATGCTGAACACTCACATCGGGGATAAAGCTTTTTAGAGACATGACTTGTTAGCGACCCGGTAAAATACTAATAAATTCTTTGAAACATACACAATTATCGATATCAAAGAAGAAGACAGGTCTCTTATCGATGACTGCCATTTTTGTTGATTCTTCAATCACTTTTATCTTGACAATGAAGTAGGTTAGTGTCACAGAAGCCTAGAGAGATACAAGGATAATGCTGAACACTCAAGTCTGAACCACTGTAAGGGCGTTCTTTCAAACAGAAAAGTGAGCAATATATATTGTTCTACTTCATAGCTCCCTAGGATAGACACACTCGCTATCCCTTAGGACTCAACTGGCCGACGGGGTTCTGGAAACGCCCGTTCCCCGCCATAATCGCAACCCACCCCCGTCGGCGAACATGAGCTAATCTGAAATATCTATACAAATCTTGATGGTTTTCGTTAGAAAATTGATTTCTAACTTGGAAAGTAAATATTGGGATTTTCTTGGATGGGGCCATATTAGTCTTAAGACATTGTTTGCAGACTAAATAGATGATTATTGCCTAGAAATTAAGCAATAGAAGAATATAACTAGTCTTTCCAAGATTGGTTTAAATATAAATATAGGTAAGAAATTACTAAGAATGCTAGCATTGGTTATTTGCTGTGCCCCTAGGGCTACTTTCTACTATTTACTATTTACTATTAGTCTTTATTTCTGTCACAATTTTACTACTCCGTACGGAGTACACCTGGATAAGATGCTCCCTTGTCTTTTTTTTTTGGGTAAATTACAGGTTAGATAGGTAACTATCTTGGGAGGTTGTGATCGATTTGTATGTAGATCGGAAGAGTCGAATACCGTATTATTTCCTTCCGATACCTCAAAGTCCCTGGCCAATGAACTTCCAAGCCCTATCGCCCGGCGATATTCTTTGATCCACCAAGTCAATACATTCGATTGGCATAAATGACTGTTTCGGTCTTCAAGATGAATAGAGTAAACGCAAGTTGAAAAATTGGAGCAACGTTCGAAACTCACTTCTCCGAACACAGGTGTTTCAACTGTACAATCCGTCATGTCGTCCGTCGAGAACGAGTTTGATTGTATTGTATTGAATGGCACTGTTGTTACAGCTGCTGACATTGGCCGATATGACATTGGTATCAAGGATGGGAAAATTCATATGCTTGCACCAGCTCTTTCTTTAGCAAACGTTCCTGCTTCACGTGTGATCGACGCCGAGGGAGCATATGTTACGGTATGACACACATTTACCCGGGATGATATGTTTTCTGATTTTCTAATTCGGCAATCATAGCCCGGGGGAGTGGACGCGCATGTTCACCTTGCAGAACCGGAGCTATTTGGCAAAGGTAAAAGCATTGATGATTACACCACAGGTAGGCACTGTATTTTGGCTTTCACCATTAATGGACCTGCTGTTGATACCAGGATCAATTTAGGAACTCGGTCTGCCATAGCGGGTGGCACAACTACCGTGATAGCATTTGCTCCGCAGGAGAAGACAAACCCATCACTACTAGGTGTGCTGGATGATGCCCACAAGAAGGCCGCTGGCAATGCCTACTGTGACTACTCTTTGCATATCATCGTCTCAAACCCAACACAACAGGCACTCGATGAATTCCCTGTTCTGCGAGAACGTGGCATTTCGTCTGTGAAGATCTACATGACTTATGAGTCCCTCCAATTGCGGGATAGGGAGATCCTAGATGTTCTTTTGCAAGCGCGGTTCTGTGGCATCACTACAATGGTCCATGCCGAAAACGGGGACATGCTGTCTTGGATGACGGAGAAATTGGAGGCGCAAGGGCTGATTGCGCCGAAGTACCATGCTACTTCTCGTCCACCTCTGCTAGAGAGTGAGGCCACAAACAGAGCTATCTCTCTTGGCCAGCTCATTGGGGCTCCAATTCTGATCGTCCATGTATCATCTCAAGAGGCAGCCAGGTCCATTAGAGATGCACAGACACGCGGTCTCCCAGTCTATGGAGAAACCTACCCACAATATCTATTTCTGACCCGGAAGAGCCTCGACCAGGATGGATTCGAAGGGGCCAAGTGTGTCTGCTCGCCTCCCCCTCGTGATGGGCCGGAAGATTTGGAGGCTATATTGGGAGGGCTGAAGAATGGAACATTTACTATCCTTTCTTCCGACCATTGCCCATTCCTGTATGATAATGCAGAATATGGCAAGAAATCTGCAATCACCGAAGATGCGCCGCTTGGACGTTTCCAGCACATCCCCAATGGATGCCCAGGTGTGGAGACGCGACTATCTTTGGTGTTCAGTGAGAACCGCCTCCGTCCAGAGCGGTTTGTTGAGCTGACGAGCACCAATCCTGCTAAACTATACGGGTTGTACCCGCGAAAGGGTGCTCTCATTCCTGGTATCTCTGATGCTGATTTGGTTATTTGGTACCCGAAATTGGACCCGTTCCCTATCACCAACTCGTCGTTGCATCACGCCGTTGATTATACCCCATTTGAGGGTCATGAAGTATCCCAATGGCCTCGGTATACCATTTCACGAGGGGAAGTGATGTGGGATCGGGATAATGGAGGTATTGTTGGCAGCAAAGGCTTCGGTCAATTTCAGAATCGCACAGCTAGTGCCTTTTGTGAGGACCTATCTCCTTGGGATGTCTCGAAATTTTAGAATAGCCGAGAATATGCTGAGAATGATTCATTCAATTTGATTTATACACTACTCCTTTGGTGAACAAGATTACAAGATCATTTAATGTCACTATTTCTGTTAATATTTGTTTCATAGATATTGTACACCCTTGGGTACTTTTTTCTCTATGTCTTCTGTCTTTTCTTTTAGTGAGGTGAAATGGGATAATATCGTTTGATTACATGCAGGGATTGAAGAGCGTAAGCTCTGACCGTCAGAGAAAACAAGTTTCTTATTGACTAATATGAATATGTTTGCGAATGATGATTTTAAAAAGCGGTTGGTTTCCTAGCAATGTAAGAAATAATCAAGGTGATATAATTTTATTCTAAGTCGCTTAATTTGTGCTATAACGTTTTGAAAGTTCCACCAGATATATCTCTTTCCATTTGACTTCCCGGAAAGACCTGAGCAGACAGTCACGCAGAAATTTCTTCGTCTTGTTGGCGCAAATGAGCATCATATAGCAAGACTGCCTGCATCAGTGCTTTAGCTCCAAGGTCACTACAACAGGAATTTTGATGATTAGCTGCCATATTAGATGATAGGGATTATAAACATACCAGTCTTCTTCAGAGGTGAACTCTGACGGGTTGTGGCTGATGCCATCCTTGGAAGGGGTAAATATCATAGCTGTTGGCGTCACCTTTGCCGTCTCTGCGCTGTCATGACCAGCACAACTTTCAAATTCATCCACCATAGATTGGCCAGCGACATTCTTTAGGGCGTCCCGCACACACCTCAATGTCACAGGATCAAACTCCACGCCCTTTTTCCCCCAGGTTTGTTCCATTTCAATGCTGAGCCCCTCTCGGTCGCTTTCCACTTTCTGTAAGTATGAGCGTAGGTCACCCTCAATTTTGTCCAAAACCTCTTCACTCAAGTGACGCAGGTCCAATGTGCAGAATGCGCTTCCAGGAACCGTGTTAGGGCTGCTAGTCCCGGTTTTGAACACTCCCCCTGTCCCAAATGCGGACTTGCGCAAAGACAATTCCTCCACTTTGACTGCAAATTTGGCCAATGCTACAAGAGCGTCTGCTCGACTGGCCATGGGCATAGCACCCGCATGAGCCTCACGACCCTTGCATCGAATCTGGTACCAACGCATGCCTTGTACGCCCTTGACAACGGCCAGCTTCTGACCCTGCTGCTCGAGTTTGCTCCCTTGCTCGATGTGAAGCTCAAAATGAGCAGATAACGGGTTCTTTTGGTAAGAGCAGGGTGTGGTACCTAGGTAGTTAATTCTTCGCAGCTCACTAGCCATGGTCACACTCGAATCGCTCAGATCTGCTAGATCATGAGCTTCCGAGATGAGTTCGGCCTCTGACCACACACCGGACCCGGTACACATCTTGGGAAAACGGGATCCCTCTCTTGTGCACTTGTTAGCGACAAGTAATCAACCGTATCTGTGCGTGTAATGGACTTACTCATTGGTCCAGTCAATTGCCGCCAAAGGAGCATAAGTTTTAATTTTGCTGTGCTTGATAGTCCGCAGAACTTCTAGCGCTGCCACAACTCCCAGAACTCCATCAAATCGTCCTCCTGGTCAGGTGAACATGAGTCAAAAACGATGGTAAATTGAGAAAAAAGGGAACAACGAACCGGCTGGCTGTGTATCCAAGTGACTGCCCATTCCAATAGGGGCAATGGTATTATTTTGACCTTGTAAAATGGCAAAGATGTTGCCCATCTCATCCACTTTCACCTCGCATCCTAAGGTCTTTGCCTCCGAGACGAACCAGTCCCGCACGTCACGATCCGAATCAGTTAGAGATTCACGACAAAGACCAACATAGCTGTCTTGTTCTAGTTGTCCCCATTTAGAAGAATGCTGAACTGAAGCCCAGGCGGACGGTTGGACGGACTGCATGCTGCTCGATTTCCAGGAATAATGTCGTGGGCTCGCGAAGGAAGGAAATACTGCACGACTTTCACCTAGATAAGCAAGAAATAGTTATAAATTTATTAAGGATGGTCCATCTTCAGAGATAAGGGTGGCCCTAAGTGATGGCAGGCCGAGTGCAACGCCGGGCAACAAGGAGACTATCGTGCACTAATTGAGTTGGCCGTCGTTCCGCCTATTTCCTGCTTTCCCCGAGACACCGGGACAGGAGGCCGGCGGGGGAGTATAGCCGCTTTACCACAGTTAACTACATGCTCTGCCAGGTGGGTTGCTGACACTAGTGTATGAGAACAATTGTGGATGATAGGCACCTATAATCTCGGGGATAAGGGTGATAGATCCATATTCCAGTGCCTGTTACTAAAACTGTCCGTTAAAAACAAAGCCGGATGACACAAGATTACTCGCGACTGGGACACTATTAGATTATCAAAAAAACAGGAAATTCTGCTGTTACTAGAGAATACTAGAGCTAATCATTGGTATATTTTTTTGGTAGCGATTTGGAGGTTTGAAAAGTGGTCTTCAATTAAGCGTCACTACGAATTGATCTTCTGTGTTTTCAGGGAGCCTTTGAAGAATCCCCATCGCTGATGAGAAACTTGCTCAAATACGCCTTCACAGCCTCAAGTCCAGCAACACTCAGTTCCGCCGCAAAGCCTAGGTGTCCATCTGGCCGCAAGACAAGAAGAGCTCCATATCGGAGATTGATCCCATAGCGAGAGTGAGCCCGTCTCTTGTCATCCATATAGACTGTGCCAAATGCTGGTACTCCTAGTCCCTCTTCGACGCTGAGTTTTGGATCAGCGGAAACGATAGTAACCAGTTTCACCGTATCCGGAGAAAAAACAAAATTGAAAGGCTCAGCGCTGTTCAAGGTTATAGAGACCGCAGAAAGCTGTGGTAGAGTCATCCGAGGATCGCCTGTAAATGTAACAAGGTAGAAACAGGCGCAGTTGGGGGTAGCAGACTGTAAACGAATTGGTTGGACAACCCCCGGCTTGAAAAGACCAACATCTGGTGCGCGGGCACCAACGCAGATAGAGGTATAATCTGTAATGGGCACCACGTTGACCAAGTTAGGCTCATATGATATTTTCAGGCCGGTGTTATAGCCCGACGCTTCATCAAAGAGATCCGCCAACGCTGCATTGATGTCCTCATATGAGTCTTTATCCATGCCTTCGGGCCATTTATTTCCCATCAGTGTGGAAATTCTGCGGTCAAAGGCAATCAATCGTTGGGCCGCGGCGCGTCGCTCTGTGCTGTAGGTCTCGAGCAAGGCAGTTTTAGCCTTCCCCTTCACGACCAATGCGAGCTTCCAGCCAATATTGACAGCGTCATGAATTCCGGTGTTGAGTCCCTGTGCAGCACCGGAAGAGTGGGTATGGCTGATCCATGGAATAATGAGTATTGTGTCAATTAAATACGATTGAGGGGAGTCTCACCATGCATCACCGACAAGGATGATATGAGAGTGTGGCTGGTAAGTTGATGCCACGCGCTGCCCAATAACGTACCTACTTCTTGTCAATAAGGATGTTCGCCGCAAGGAAAGAACGATGGAATCAACCAAACTCACAATGTCCACCAATCAACGCTTTCGAATTCCACATGGAAGGGCTTCATCGCTGCGACTGCTTCTCGCACCACTACCTCTTCTGTCAGATTCCCGTTGCATCTGAGCTCTTGTTCCTCGTTGTAGACAAAGCCAATACGAGTCACACCATGATCTAGGGGTGCCCAAAGGATATTGCCGTGGTTTGCGCTTTGGATGGATCTGTGCTCATTAGCAGCTCCTCTCTCGGCTAGATTGCCTTTGCAACTTACACATAATCCCTCGGGGTGGGAAGGTCCGTTTTCACTTTGCCGTCAACTCGAATCCATTTATCTTGGGTCGTGTCACCCTCAAATTCCACACCGAGATGTCTTCGGACGAAGCTTCTTCCTCCATCGGCACCCACCAAGTATGCACTTTCATCCAGTCAGCCATCCATGAACAAGAGATAATTATTGCGACATGCGAACCTCTTCACTGTGTATTCTTCTCCGGTGGTCATATCCCGCAAAGTCGCAGTAACATAATTGCCATCTGCGTCTGGCTCATCTGCCTTTTCGATGTTCACGCACTCACAAGGACAGTGCAGCTCAACACCTGCATCCTCCAAACGGATCCGAATACTCTTCTCGATGAATTGTTGTCTCAGCATGATACCGAAGTCGAATCTGATATCGTGAGTGAATGATAGCAAGAAAGATGGAACGGTTTATTTACCTAGTGTCTTCTATATTTTCCACAAAGTTCCAGACCCGCCCTGGAACAATGCGTTCCCCGTTCTCACCATAGGTATAGCTCTGGCGAACAATATAGCATTGTTGCATGATATCATCCACTAAACCGAGCTGATCGAGAAACTCAGCAGATCGTGAATACAGCGCATTTGCACGTCCGTATTGAGTGATGGTAAATTTAGACTCCTTATCGACGATGTGGACGGAACACCCAGCTTGGGCTAGCTGGTATGCCGTCAGGAGGCCAACAGGTCCCCCGCCAACAATCAAAACATCGACTGAGAGTGATCGGCTCATTTTGACTTGAAAGTAGCACAGTGTATTTTTTTCAATAGATAATTGGGTGAGAGAGCTCCTTTATTGGTTATAAAATCCATGATATACCTAAGTATTTTTACTTTAATTTTTGCCCTAACTTTCCCCAACCGGAGACCTTGGGAGTCCCCATTTGTCCTTATCGATCGGGCCGACCGCCGATAAATTCCCCAAATCGATTAGAACCCAGTTGCAGTGACTGGGGAATTCATGTGAAACTCTTTATCGTATGCATGTACTTGGCTCCATCACCCCCGATGGCGGGGGTTCCCTTAGTCTCATCCGAGGTGGGCCAGGGCTCAAATTTAAAACGCTGACTCGAATGAATTCAGTTTTACTAGTTTACTTAACTGTCGTGAATCCCTCGTGACTTCAAAAAATCAACATTCTTGACTGTCACTTTCATATCAGTCAATATGCCTGGAAATATCCCCGTTTGGGTTGACTGCGATCCAGGTCCGTCCCCATCCAACTCCTTACTTGCAACATGAAATAGAAAAGGGAATTTGGCACTAATCAAAGATTTGACATTGTGCAGGTCACGATGTAAGTCTTGGGTTGACCATTGATCTATAGTCCTTTCAGCTAAGTAGTTGCAGGACGCGTTTGCGATGATTCTTGCCGCACAACACCCAGCATTCAACCTGCTCGGTATCAGCACAATTCATGGCAATGCCTCATTGTCGAGCACAACAAAGAATGCACTGAGTGTATTGACTGCGCTCAATCGTACAGATGTGCCTGTCTACCCAGGTGTCGAGAAACCATTCTGCCGCCCTCATCCTCAACCGGCCGCTGACGTCCACGGTATTGGCATTGCCTCTCAAAACGTATCTTGTTCAAAGTCCTTGGACTAACTGTTTGACATAGGCGAGTCTGGAATTGATGGCGCCGAGGATCTGCCGGAACCGATGGTCGGGCCAAAGACCGATAAGCACGCTGTGATTGCCATGCGGGATGCTCTGCTGGCACAACCGAAGGGCACGGCCTGGCTCGTGCTCCTAGGATCCTTTACCAATATAGCGCTACTGATGAGCCTATTCCCAGAGGTTGCGGACCACATTAAAGGGCTTACTATAATGGGTGGATCTATTGGAGGAGGATTCAATGATGCCCCAAAAGCCCAGAAGGCGGGAGAAACAGACCGAGTCGGCAACGTTACTCTCTGGGCTGAATTCAATTGCCATGTATTTCATCACCGCATCTTTTTCTTTTTTCTTTTTTTGAGAACAAGCCTCTAACTGTATATCTAGTGTGACCCAGAGTCTTCGAGGGCCATCTTCTCTAACCCAACCCTGGCTGCTAAGACGACCCTCCTCCCACTCGACGTTACTCACTTGGTGTTGGTAACCGAAGAGGTTCTCAATCTTATGTCACATGGCCCGTTGGAGAGGAAAATCTCCGAACCCTCGAAGATGAGGGACATTTTCACGGATCTCCTTAAATAGTTCCGACGCGAGTACAAAAAGACTCAAAATCTCGACGGACCCCTTCATGACCCAACTGCTGTCGCGGTCATCCTTGACAGCGAAGGCGTGGAAAATATTGGATTTGATTACAGAGATGAAGAGCGCTTTGAAATCGATCTGGTCTTAGAAGGCGAGCAGATTGGGCGAAGTATCGCCAAGAAGCTTCCACCTGGTTCAGAGGGCGTTAGAATCCCGAGAGGTCTCAACGTGCCTGAATTTTGGCGTGTCCTTGAGCATGCACTCTTTGTCGGCGAAAATGTCAGCCGGAAAGATTGACTTTTATTAAATGTAGTCGATCCCGTCTTACGGGAAGGGAAGCCTGGAGCGGAGGACGGATATTGGCGAAGACTGTCATGTCACCGGTTAGGGGGAAGTCATTGAATTTATGGAATTATCTTGCCCAAAAAGAAATTTGTGTTGGGAGAATTTTTTATAGATTGGAAATTCACTTCTGGCGTTTACGTATATTGAGGGACCTACAGTTTCTAAGAAAACATCAGAAGACTGCTGGTCAATATATAATCAACGTACGCGATTACACGGTCGGCTATGAAGATCATGTATCCAACTAATCCTTTTGGGTCTAGGGAAACACCGCGGCTATATTGGACTGGAAGCGAGCTCCAATACTTCAATGTTACGTCTTGCCTCTTGATTGCGGGCTCAACCTTACTATGGCTGCTGAGGCATGGATCAAGTAAATATATTAGGGCACTAAAGAATCACATGACCTGGAAAGGCTGATCCCAGCATATTACAATTTCTCAGCATGGCCATTGAAATTCTCGGTTCTGTTAATTTACTTACTGACGTATGTATTTAGGGAATTACATGCTACTGGATGGTACCATACATTGTCAACCCACTAGATTTCTGTTAAATATGGTTGCTCCCCACAGTTGATTCTGGATACCTTGTAATCGTATTATATACCGTATCGGGTTGAGCCACCGAATTTAGCCTTGGATTCTCGTATTTCCCTCCAATTCGTTATCGCAGGTGCTCCCCCTATCGGTCGTTGACTAAAGTCCTGGGTGCCTATTGGCTGAGAATGAATTTCAGGTGGTCCTAGTCAATAGGGTCTGACAACCGCCACTAATTGCAGATAATATCTGTGGGAAACAAAAACAGGGCATTTCTACGATTCTTCACTGGGTGTGAGGGATCTCCTTGTCGTTTGAAAGCTTACATGGTCCACAGCGGTCGAAATACTTTATATCGTTGTAAAATCAGGCGTATACTCGAAGAAATATTCCAAGGTTGTAGTTTTCTGCACAGCGAGTTGCCGGCATAGTCTTCTCGCCCTGATCTTACGGGTTTTGCCTCCGCTGATACTGAACTTAACTTCGGATGCGATTCTCAACTTACGGCTAATCGGAGTCAATGGCAATAAGAGTCGACGGCAATAAAACATATTGGCTGTTTGTAAATAGTGATCCTATAATCGGGGCTTACAATCGGGAGCAAAGCGGCCATGAGGACTACTAGAAAAGGATAAACTATTTAGAATTCATTCCATCAAGGCTCATTGTATTGAGAAATCAAAAAGTAGCTTTGCGTGTTTATCTCAAGAATTGATCGAACGCAAAAGCAATATCATTTTTTCAGGTGCAGATATTGTGCATTGCAAAACGCCAATAGGCCCCCCATTCCAGCTTCCAACCCAATGCCACTCTCCTTATGACCACCATACGGAACTGCGGGTTGCAACGCGTAATGGGTGTTCACCCATACGGATCCAGCTTCGACATTGCGTGCAATTCGGCCTGCTTGGTCGAGATCTCTTGACCAGACTGAAGCTCCAAGACCCATCCGGGTGTCATTAGCACGAGAAATAACATCATCTTCGTTGTTCCAGATCATCAAGGGTACTATCGGACCAAAAGGCTCCTCTTGCACGATTCTGCTATCATCTGGGGGATTATCGATTAAAGTAGGAGTGACGAAGTAACCAGAAGACCTGTCAGTGTTCTTGCCACCAGTCGCGACAGACCAATTTTCTTTCTCGATATCGTCGAAGAACCCTTGAACCCGGTCGAACTGCATTTTGTTCTGTACTGGGCCTAGGAACACACCCTCGTCGACCCCATTTCCGATCTTGTATGTGTTCATAATACGGACCATCGCATCTCGGAATTCTTCATAAATGGACTCGTGGACATAAATCCGCTAGATTGCAAGGCAGATCTGGCCAGAGTTCAGGAAGCAGAAGTGTGCGACCTAACAGAAATCATCAGTTGTCAACTTTAGGGGCTGAAATCCACGAAAACGAGACGTGCTCACCTTCTCTGCTGTTTCTTCAATATCAACGTCTGAACAGACGATGGCTGGATCATTGCCACCGCATTCCAAGGTAACACGCTTCATAGTTGCAGCCGCGGCCTGCATGACCTTTTTACCCGTGGCTGTCGATCCGGTGAAAGAAATCTTCTCCGGGATAGGGTGTGCAGTTAGCCACGGCCCCAAATTGTCGTCACCACTCAGCGCCTGGACGACACCCGGTGGGAAACATTGTTGCGCCAATTCAACCAGCTTCAGACCGCAGTAAGGTGTAAATGGTGAAGGCTTGATGATAATCGTATTGCCCGCTAGTGTTGCAGGAGCCATCTTGATGCAGGCGAGGAGGAGAGGAAAGTTCCATGGAACAATGCCTACGGAAACACCCAGTGGTGTATATCGGCACACTATACGTGTTTCGTTGTCTTCCTGTACCACCTCTTCTTTCAGTTCCAGGTCGGCGAATGCCTGCATGCATTCGATGGTCTTTTCGTATTCGATCGTCGCGAACTTGAGTGGTTTTCCTTGCTCCTTTGTCAAGAGCGTCACGAAATCGTTGCCGTGCTCTTTCACCAACTCGATGAATTTGCACAGACATGCCTTGCGAAATTCGTAGGCGCTCTTGCGCCAAGAGGCGAATGCAGTCTGTGCTGCGTCCATTGCAGTGTTGACATCCTGCAGCGTGGAAATGGGCACCAACTCGTTGGGCTCGCCAGTAGCTGGGTTGATGGCATATCTAAGGAGCTCAGTGCCCACTAATTTTCCATCGATCGAATTTTGATAGTTGTGAAAGATGTCAATCTTTGCGGCGCGCTCAGTAACTTCTGAAATGGGCGACATGATCACGAGATGAGATGAAGGGGAAATTTGTTGGAAGTAGAACTATAGCCTTGTTTATTTAATATATTAAGTAAAGAGGATATCTATCCCTATAACTTCCAATGATAAAGCTATCTTACGTGATTTAGGGAGTAACACGCTAACGGGGAACTTTTCGGGGGACAATTGTTCGGGGAGGAAACTCCGGCTTAAGCGACCCCGGTGACACCCGTTTGGCCGATATCTGGGGATTCATAGGATGGTCAGATCTGTCCTCCAAAGGTCAACTCTTGCGTATGCTAGAAGTATGTGTAGACTTGTAATGATATTTTTATGGATGATTTCTTGTGGTGTTGTAATTTAAAATGTAATTTTAGATCCTCGAGCGCTCCTCTCCCATCCAGCCCCATTTCATCGTACGCATATCGTGTAGCATATTCAACCCAGTTCTCAAATTGACAGTTCTACTTCAGATATCCAGGATTTCCATCCTCAATTCATAAATAAACATTCACGCATTTACTTCCCAGTCCAACCAGCCCACTCAATCTAGACAGTTAAATCCAGAACAGTGCGACCTTTTAGTTGACGCTTGTTCATCTTATCAAATATATCCATGAGGGTTGACATAGGCTGCACAGTGACGCGGGTCGTTACCACTCCGCGAGCGGCCATCTCCATGGTCTCAATAGCATCCATACGGTTTCCAACCACGCTCCCCACAATACTGATTTCCTGACTGATAAGGGTAGCGGGATCTGCGGAGGCAATCGCAACTGGAGCACCTTCGGGCACTCCGACACAAACCACGGTGCCCCCAAATCGCACAAAAGATACCGCAGCAGCGTAGGCTTCATTGGCGCCAGTACATACAATGACGGCCGCAGCGCCGAGCTCATGAGGGGTGACCTTTTTGACATCGACAGTGAATTGAGGATCGTTGTAGTCGTACTTTGAGACATCGATGTAGGACTCCGCGCCACATTCTTCTGCAAATTCTTTCTTGTCACCGTAGTCGAGAGCCTGCCAACAAAAGTTAGAGGTTAATCTTGTTTTGGTGTTAATATGAAGGGCATTGGGGCAATACAATCATTCGGAACCCCATACCGCGCCCTCCCATCTGAAGGGCTAGATGACCAAGTCCCCCTGTTCCTCCCATAATAACAACTGCGTCTCCCTAGAATATTATTAGCCCGGATTCTTGCATTTCTCCTAAGGGTGGTAAACTGTAGTCTTTACTCACTGGTTTCGCACCACATTTCTTCAACGCGGCATAGACAGTGATTCCTCCACACAGCATCGGTGCTGCCAGCTCACTCGAGAGCTCATCAGGGATGCGGGTAACGTAGTTCGCAGGCGCAAGGGCATATTGTTGGAAAGTCCCAGGTTCGCCATATCCAGATATTGTCCCATTGGAGCAGCAGCCATCGCGGCTAGCTAGGCAAGGGAAGCAGCTTCCGCATACACGAGCCATCCACTTGATACCTACGCGGTCTCCAAGCTTCAAACCAGATTGTTCAGTGTTGGGCCCAAACGCCACAATATCACCAACGCCTTCGTGTCCTCCGATCTGGCCAGCTTGGGCTGGGGGCCCGACGTCTCCTTCTCTACGGGTCATCACACCCCAATCACTGTGGCAGACACCCGAGTGTGTAATGCGCACAAGGACATCACCATTTCCAGGCTGTGGTGTGTCAACTGTGAGATATTGGACACTAGCTGTCCCTGGCTTGTCGTAGGCGATTGCCTTGTGTTGGGATGGAATTTGGGAAGTCATCATGGAAAGATGGAAGTGAGGTCGGCCGTAGTACGGGAGGCTCTGAATGCCTAACTTGTTCTGATAGAAGATAGAGAGCAAAGGTTTGCGACACGCGTGGGTTGATATTGTTTGATAGACACATTGCTATATTACCCCGCTTCCCCATTGCCTATTAGCGGATGTATCAACGTGGGACGTCGGCGAACATGTTATCGAGCGGCGAATTATTTGCTAAAGGCCCTATCTGGCCGACCCCCGATCCCATAATAGTAATAATTCATTTTCAGTCTGTTCAGATGGTTCCGACTAGGCCTTTCCGTCAATCAGATCGAAGGGGTCTCGGTGAATGGTACCATAATCGAATCGGGCGATAAGAGCGCTAGTTTAAACCTTTAGATCCTTTAGATTCTGTAGATAAAGGCGTAAAATGGAATTTGTTGCTGTTGTCTGTTTTCAAAAGATTTTTCATTTCTATCTGATCCGCTTGAGAGGTACCCCGATCTTCAACTCCCCATTCTTCAAGATGACCGGACGCATCCGCCTGGGGTTCCTTACTCCCTCCTCAAATACCAATATTGAGCCATTGTTGTAAGTAATTACCTCCCAACTCCTTGGTGTTACAGTTCACTTCTCTTGATTTGCTGTCTCTGATATCAGGCTCGACTAAAATACCTAGCGGCAGTTTTGAAACGATTCTTTATACTGCCAGACTCCTTACCAACGCGAATGTCGATATCATCGGTTGGATGGGCACTTCCCCGGGCTGGTCAGGCATCGAGGCCGACGAGGCCCTATATCAATTCATCACAGCCGCAACAGGTATTCCAGCTACTACGGCTGTGTTATTTTGAAGAACAAAGCTTTGAAAGCACTCTCTATCACGGAACAAGGAATGGTATCATCGTATACGGGAGACGTCCAGTCTGCCTTCGTTAGAATATGTGCGCTTATTGGCTGCGGCAAAAAAAATTCTCTTTGATTGCCGAAGAATAGAACTTTCGCTGGGGTAGAGGAGTCCACGCTCGACAGGATGGGGAAACATGTTCAAACAGTGATGACAATGAATCATATTGGAACGATGATCCATGGGTCCTCTACTGTGGGTGAGGTATTCAAACTCAAAGTTGGGTTCATATATGTCCCTTAATATTGGGTATATTGCTTGGGATAATAGTTATTTCCACGCAGCAACGAAGCAGACGAACACGTTTGTTTTTAATTGGGTGAAGATAAGACATGGTACTTACATTACAAATATCAGAAGCTACAGTGGGACCTCCGAAGTATTGGGCGGCATTTCAGTACCTTCATATACCATACTGCCTTTCGTATAGAGGTACAAAATTCCGCCCAATACTTCGGAGGTCCCACTGTACCTACTCCGTAGGTATGTTACAATACATGGTTGAAAACCGGCATCGGGAGTCAAAACCCCCGGAAAATACATGGACCGCCCGGATGCCGGTACCAATCAATCCATGCCTCAGGTTATGTCCATGGATAGGAACCTTGGAACCGGAAGAAGATTCCAAGGTTTAGCTCTAACTTAATTAGGTGGCACTTAACAACAACCTTGGAACCTTGTTATAATGAGGTGACTTCGGGAATACCACGGTGTTTTCATCAAAAACTGGTATTATCTTCACACGATGGTGTAGGGTGAAAAAAGATAGAAGTTAATTACACATATAGCTAGCTACATATATACATAGACGAATTTCACTCTTATTCAAGCTTGGTATGTCGGGACCATCACCCTGATCTGAGATCCCACAATTACATGAAGAGTAACCTCGCGCCGTCAAAGACATGTCGAAACATGTCTCTAGATATTGACTGAGGTTCAAGCTGGCTAGAATCAGTGGTACGATGATTTGAGTGTATCTGCGTGGGTCGCATTCGTCGCCGAATGACCCACTTAGCGCACCCCCGGAGCTGTAGACCCGTGAGCATCTTAACTTCACCTCATTATTCTCCTCTTTCTAGATTTGCAGCAAATCTCCCTACTTTGACAAAGATCATGTCTTCAATGGTCCTTAATTTTTTTGATGATCGGGAAGAGTCTGTCCCCGACAATACATATCGCCCATATCGCTCCAAGAGACACCGGCCGTGTGACGTCTGTCGTCAACGCAAGAGTGCATGTCGTATTCAGTCCAGGCCTCCATGTGCAATCTGCAACCAGCTCAATGTTGAATGCACATTCGAAGGACCTCCAGCTAAGCGAAAGTCCCCACGCATTGACCGCGAAAGGCCATTGCAGTCAGTAGACTTTGCGCAAGCCCCTTCTCCATTTTTGGAATTCTTTTTAGAAAGCAACGAGGCTACCGAACATGTCCCGAAGATGATCGCGCCGGTCGCTGAAAGTTCCCATGGGCACCAGTTCGAGGACATGATACTTGGAACACAGGCAGCGGAGATTCCCACTCAGCTACACTCAGTCCAGAACAGTTACCAAACTGTGGTAGACCAGCCAAACCAAACGGAGAACACTGCTTTGCCAAATCTTAACTCACAGGATTGCTGGGACTCGGAAATGTTTCAGTATGGATCTGTGTCCCCTGTCTCCTCTCCTACCTCAGCACGTTCACTGGACCAGACCGATGGTTTCTCTGCTCAATACTTTGGATCTTCATGCGAATCAGATCCATACTTGCTCCGACATTTCAGATTCGCGTCTGAAGGTGACTCTCGATTCTTCAAGGTACACTTTCGTCGGGTGTCAATGGAAGTGCCGGGCCAGAAAATTCCGACTCATTTCATGATTAGTGCAGATGAGCTTGGCGATGCAACTAAATCGGAGAGCTGCAATCGTGAAGGCCCTGATAAGGTTAGAGCTGATTTGGACGCTGCGGTCAATATTCAAGAGGGCCAACGCCTCGTGGGACTGTAAGCTATGAAAAAATCCCCCAGTTAATTTCATGGTACTAATATGAGCGAACAGGTTTCTTCGCTTTGTGTTTTCGAGTCTTCCAATCATTTCTCGAAGCCAATTAGGGATTGGCAGGCCATCAGATCTTCCAGACCTTGTTACTCTCCGTCAGATCCCTTCCCATCTTCTTGCTGCTATCTATGCAATTTCAATTCAATTCTGTCATCATGACCCAGTACTCTGTGTTTCCAAAGTTTATACAAAGCCCCCAACTGATCGACTCTGGTGAATGGTTCTGGACGAGGTCATGAGCGAGATTCATTTGCCTAAATTGTCGGTGGTGCAAGCTCTTTTGCTTTATCTCCAGAAGTCGCAGCCACAGGCAGCGGCCGCCGTTGCTGAAACTCCCTTGCGCTGGTCATTGTTGGGATTTGCAAATTCTTTAGCAACAACGCTAGGCTTACATCTGGAATGTCGGCACTGGAATATCCCTGATTGGGAAAAACGTCTCCGCCGAAGGTTGTGGTGGGCGGTCTTTTCAGAGTCCGTGTGGCGAAGCCTTCTGCAGGGGTATCCCAATCCCATTCATGAAGATGACTGGGATGTTGAAGAACTTGACCAGAAAGACTTCACTCTTGATCATTCTGCAGACGGTGAAGGTCGTGATAATATTGGCCAAGGAACCTATGACACACCTGAACGAGTGGCTGTTGACTTTATTTATTTAACTCAATTGAGTTGCATTGCGTCCGACACTTATTGGGCATTTTAGTGAGTATCTCACCACCTTCTTGAAGGCGTCCGGCCGTACTATAAGCTGACTTGGAACTTAGTTCCCTGAAGGCTACGCGAAGACTTGCTAATAAATTTTCTCAATCACTCCATGCGGTATGTCCTTTGCGGGCTAGACTAGGTAGTTGGTACTCAGGCTTGCCCGAGCATTATAACTTGCAGCAGAAGTCCACAATTTGCACTACGCCAGAATGTCTGAAACAAAGGTCAACAGCACCTTTACGACTGTTATACCAGAGTGTCGACCTCTTTCTTTATCGAGAATTGCTGCGACCACTGGGTTCGGTAGTTCAGACCACTGAAACGCCGACGCAGAATTATCCACCAAACATGCCACCTAGCTCATTATTGGATGATCCAGCTGTTGAAGCAGCTTTAGTGGGAGCGGAGAACTGCGCTAGGAAATTTATATCGACTACGGCCGGGTTGAGCTCCAGAGATTTCCATTCGTTTTGGTTTTCATGTGTGATGCATCTGATCTTCCTATGTTTATGAAGCTGACAACACTGGGTATGGAATTTCCTAGGGATCCGAATATGTTTCGCCACAATGTCAAACTTTTCGGTGCAGCTTTTCATCCAAGCACCCAGCCAAACGCATGCCCGAGAAGACAAAAGAATAATCTCCGACTGGATGAACGTACTGCGGACTCATAGCCAGAGTTTTAAAAAAATGGACCTAGGCCTTCTACGGCTAAATGCAATACACTGGGTAGGGTTGCGCAAGCTGACTCGTATGTCACCGTGGGCTGAAGCAGAGCTGGGCCGAGAAACGCATGACCAAACGGTATAATAGTTTTGTATTTTATATTTAATTTGTTGTGAACGCCGCTGTACTTTTGAACTACGATATTAATTAATTCTTTTTTTTCCCACAGGGGTAGTCACGTTGATCGGAGCAAGCACTTTGCTCTGATATATAGGAGAACAAAAAGTGAGTTAAAATGGCCTTACTTTGGACTACAAACTCGGCCTTCAGAAAAATAACATCGAAATTCGTATGATAATTGAAACCTTTATATATAAATCCAACCTTCCAACCTCGGAATGTTTATACTCTGCCTATGTAAACAGATAAGGGCCAAACCCCCGCGGCCGCCGTGTGCCGATATTCCCCGCCCCGGGGCCGCTATCTGTAGTTACGAGACACCGATCCTCCGTCCTCTCACACCTCAGCTTCTTACGCAGTCCAATCGAAGAAGCCGATTGAAGCTGTCAGTTCTTAGGTTCCGATAATGGACGAACTTGAACTTGAAAGCTTTCTTACTCTGCATAATAACGTGCCAGCCTCACTTCCAGGCTCTCAGATCCATCCACCATACCGTACTGAGCAATCAACATTCAACTACAGAAATAGGCCTCGCAACCCCCGGTCATGCGATTTCTGCCGCGCACGAAAAACAGCTTGCATTATTGAAAATGGGCCGCCCTGCACTACGTGTGAAACTCGGGGTAAAAGCTGCGAGTTCAATGGACAAAGAAGAAACAGAGTAGAGGGGACCTCCTTGGGACCTGGTACCAGAATGGAGGTTGGCGGCCCAGTGTATTTTGATGGTCTGATTTTCCCCAGTCCATCAATATCTTTTCAGGATGAAGGTTGTATGCCTAACAATCTGCAGTTCCGTCCCAACCTGATCCAATCGACATCTCTATGCAGCATTCCTTCCCTGCTGAACCGCCTACTCCCCCTCATTTGATGGGGTCCACCCATCCTGTTCCTGATGTTGACTTTTATAACGATAATGAGATGCAGACCACTCCAGATTCGGACAGAGGCTCTGTAGGGGGGTTTCAATCCTCGACGGAGCATTTCGCAAACTATAGAGGGGAAGCGGTTTGAGTCCCTTGATTTACGACCGACATCCACTGTCTTTCTACTTGGCGACTCTGGCGAAGCGGATCCATATTTACTCAAGCACTCGAAGCTAGCAGCGCCTGCAGGAAACCTACAATTTCGGCGCATTCATCGTGAATGGATTCCTGGCTGTAGTGAGCAGCCTCTGGACACCGAAAGACCACTTGTGCTTATGCTAGGGGAACACAGTCTTTACAGGAGTTACGAGCCACGTGTTGAAGGCTCTGTACTTGAAAGTATGAGAAAGGAGCTTGACGGCATCACTATTGAAGTTGGAGTTCGTCTCATCAAGCTCTTCTTCAAGTACATTTACCCTTACTTTCCTATCCTGTCGCGCTCTCGAATGATGTCGGACAACTCTCATGTTGAAGAGATACTCTTAACTCTGCCTCTTTCTCTCAAGGAGGCTGTCTACGCATCTTCCCTCTCTTTTATGATTTATGACGATTATCTGTCCGCCATGCTAGACGTCGATCTACCATCCGCGCAGAATCTTTACCGCATCTCTTGGATCGCAATAACGCATGAAATACACACACCACACCTATCAACATTGCAATCGTGTCTGTTACTACTACAGCGGGATAACGTGAGTCGCTACGTTCAGGGCTCACCATTCCAATGGAGCCTAGTGGCATGGACTGTTAGTCTAGCACAAACACTAGGATTATCAACGGACTGCTCGACTTGGCGAGGTCTTCCTCTGTGGGAGAAGAGGCTTAGAAGGCGGCTTTGGTGGGCGTCTTATGTGCTAGACAAATGGATTCTCCTGTTTTCCGGACTTGCTAGTCACATTCGGCATGATGATTTTGATGTGCTACCCTTGACAGCGGCCGACTTCGCAACAGATCCAGACGAGACAAACATGCCGCGCGGGGCACTAGACATCACTCAACACCAGAGTTCACATTTTTACCACCTGGTCGAGCTTACCAGGATATTATCAAGAATCAACGATACATTTTTCACCGTGCGATCGTCAAAAGAAACAGCGTCCAATATTTTGCTGACATTTGAACTCGCAAAGCCGATACGTTCCCAATTACACTCCTGGAGAGAGTCCTTTGAACGGTTCTCAACTCTCCAGCAAAACTTCTCTGCCTCACGAGGACAACTCGACGGTAACATATCGCTAGGCCTGGCTTATCCCGTTGTAACAATGCTCCTGTTCAGAGCTCTAATGCGGCCACTCGAGACCTCAAAGGGCAGTGCAGAAGATATGATTTTGAGGGAGAGCAGTCGGGACTCGATCCGGGTAGGCGCAGAAGCCTGTTGTGTGGAAATAGTCAACTGTATAGAACTGATTCAACCCAGCGCTTGGAATGCGTTCTGGCACAAATGTGAGGAGAGTTCCCCATGGAAACTGCACAAATCCAATTTAACATCTCACAGTCTCCCCCAACTTCTTCGCCATGCCTTCTTCTTTTATGATGAGACTTCTCGTTACTTCGAACTCTCCAAGTGAAATTCAGAGGATGAACAACCTCATCGATCGCTGGAGATGGGCCATGAGAACTGGTGGTGGTAACGCAGGCAATGCCATGATGAGCTTAGGTCTGCTTCGTCTGGATAGGTCACTCCTTGAGAATAAAATCGGGGGCTCGGAGAAAAATAGCTAGTCAATGAGATTGCGAGTTAATCGGGGACCCCTACAGAGGTACTCTGTAGAGACGGCTCAATTCCAAGACGCAACCTTAATTTAGAAGGCCCGTCTCGGGTGACCGATTGATACTAAGATAGATGATTGAATCAATGCTTCTCCTCTTTCAAGGATCTATTGAAAATATCCACTCTAATACGTGGTACGAGACTGGTCTTCCGGCATGACCCGAATTGCCATAATAAACATTTGACAATGTGAGCGCTATGTTGTAGATAACGAAGTGAAACAGTGCAGTGTGGGGAATTTCTGATATGAGAGGCGTGTGTATTCTGCGCTAGTAATTTATGTAATACGAGAATACGAAACTACTAAATTACTAAATTACCAGTGATCCTAAAGCCGATCGACCCACCTTTTTCTATATTCCGATCTTGACGTGAGTGGGTCCAGTTTTGGTCCGATCCAAGAGTGTGTTTAAAGAGCTTCATAGATGATGGGTTAACAAAAAAAAAGTGGCATCCGGTGGAAAGTTTGGAGGTCTGGCGTTAAACACGAAATTACACCAGCACTCGGAATGGTTGAATATCTGGCACCCCCTGTCTTAGGATCAGACTTCGTTATACGCATCGAGCCTTTGACCGCAGCAAGCTTTGCATCCTTTGGAACGGCAATCATCCCCCCAACCCTACCTGCCGCATGCGATATATCTCAAGCAAAAACAATTCCAAATCACCATATCACTCTTAATTCGAAGGCCACGGTTGTGAATCAAGGAACAGCGATAAAGATCTCACCAATATCGCCACTGATCAACTCTTACCCGAGCACCACCAACTCCAAGCCCCTGGTATCCCTACTCAGTTGCTTCCCACGACATGACTTTCTCCGGTCAAACCAAGCAACAAGATACATTCATATCGACGTCCTGGAGCGCCACTCCTTTTCATCCCAGACATTCGTTCCTCTCTCTGCGTATCCAACAGCGCGCTATCTAATTATCGTTGCACCTTCCGTCCAATCAGCCGAAAGGGGTATCATAAACCCACCTGATCTCTCAAGCATGCGTGCGTTTCTTGCTACTCCTTCTCAAGCTGTCACGTATGCCCCTGGAACATGGCATGCACCCATGACTGTACTATCATCATCGGAGTTAGATTTGGATCCAGGCACCCGAAGGATTGATTTTGTCGTTACGCAGTTCGTAGATGGCACTGAGAGGGACTGCGAAGAGGTGGTTATGGGTGACTGTACAGACTGGAATAATGGCGAGATTGAAACGTGCAGAGTGTTTGTTGTTGTTGACGAAGAGAGAGATGAGTGATGACACACTATTGGATGGAATTGAAGAGCCTAATGTGAACCTGCAAATACTACAATGGTGAGGCTAAGGATTAATGGATGGATTTGTTCAGTTACTGGTTCGGGGTCACTATCATACATAATCAATCATAAATCATCATATAAGCCTGAAATTGTTAGAATAGATTGTGATGGCCTTGTCCATGTCCCACTCCTGCTTCGCTTTGTCCGGAGCAATTTCCTCGTGTATTCTTAAATAATAGCCTCTTAATAGCTATATATTCATTTACCTCAATATTATAAAAACCACTTGTTAAATCATCCTATAGATGATTGTTTGCTTGCAGACTGAGCAGTTTGTTTGTTAGTTTTGGGGTAGAAATACCCTGCTTTTGCTAGATTGAATAGATCATGATTCTTCCTTCTTTCTCTTCCCGTCGTTGTAGCCCACAAAGCTACTCGTATCTCACTGTATACTAAGACATTAAACATATAGGCCCCATTAAATGGAATCTGCTATACTAATTATCTATCGCAGAGAGAAGCGAGGCCTCCCCACGTCTAAAAGGGGGTCCCTCCGGGGACGGAATCATCCACATTAGTGGCGGGGGAATAGTGTGTGCTGAACGCCTATCTGCCGAGGTCGTCCCTATCACCGGCCCTATCACTCGCCTATCACAAACCTATCATAGTCTGACTATCCGGTACATCACCGAGGGAGAATAGCATTGATGCATCTCGATGACATAAATAACAGCCAGACTCTGTCTAGGACTCTGTTTGGCAAAGCACTTTCATAATCTCAGTCGTCTCTATCTCATATTTCTTCCTCTTCCTCTAAACTTTGATCAAAATGGCTGGACAGATTCCCGTGTGGGTGGATTGTGATCCAGGTAAGGGAACTCCATTACTGTATTCATGTCCATATATCTAATCAATTCACAGGCCACGACGTATGTCTTTGAATGCTAGATATATCCTATGGAATCGCTAATAATTGACTAGGATGCATTTGCCATCATCCTTGCGGCCCAACATCCTGCTTTCAACCTACTAGGTGTCAGCACGATTCATGGAAACACATCGCTCAAAAAGACGACCATTAACGCTCTCAGTGTTTTGACGGCGCTCAAACGCACTGAGGTCCCCGTCTACCAGGGCACGCCCAAACCTTTCTGCCGAGAGCACCCACAATGGGGCTCCGATGTGCACGGTAATTACCTATGCCTCCTCGTCTACCCAGAATGAATTAAATGCTAGTGACGCGAATACTGACTGGATGTGAATAGGTGAATCTGGTATCGATGGCGCTGAGGATCTGCCTAAACCAGCTGTTGGGCCCCGAACTGATAAGCATGCCGTGATTGCAATGCGTGATGCACTACTTGCGCAGCCGCCGAATACTGCTTGGCTGGTCTTGCTTGGATCTTTTACCAACATTGCGCTACTGATGGCGATGTACCCCGAAGTGGCTGATTATATCAAGGGACTTACCATAATGGGAGGCTCGATCGGCGGGGGGTTTACTAAAGCTCCTCCAGGCCACCGCACAGGGGAAGCGGACCGAGTAGGCAACTCGACACTGTGGGCTGAATTTAACGCTTTTGTGAGTCACCTTCAAATTGTGGATTCCTAAAACGATCATGTCTAATACTCTACTTAGTGCGATCCCGAGGCATCGCGTGCAATCTTTTCCAACCCTCGGCTGAACATTAAGACCACGCTCATTCCGTTGGATGTGACTCACCTAGTCTTGATCAAGGAGGAAGTCTTGGATCTGATGAAGAATGGTCCACCAGGACAAAAGAGGAACACTGAGGCTAAAACTAGAAAGATCTTCACTGATCTGCTCAAGTTCTTCCGTGGGGAGTACCAAAGAATCCATAATCTCGATGGGCCTCTCCATGACCCTATTGCTGTTGCTGTTATTTTGGAAGATGAAGGAGTGGAAAAGATTGATTTTGACTACAACGGTGGAGAACGGTTCAGTATTGACTTGGTTCTGGAGGGTGAGCAGATTGGTCGGACAGTTGCGACCAAGCTTCATACTGGTGAACAGGGCGTGAGGATTCCCAGAGGGTTAAACGTCCCCAAATTCTGGCGTGTTCTTGAGGGGGCCCTTAGTGTTAGCGACAAGAACTAGACTGTGTATAGAAATGGCTTTTTTTGAGTTGTATATTGTTCGCTCATCTTATGGTTACAGAGAAAATTGATATAAGTCTGTGACCTACATACCAATCCCCAACACCAGCGAAAGTAACCGCAATCTAAGTTGATCTAACTTATTTGAAATGGGTAGAGAGACTACATGTACCCAATGTAACATCTCCAAGATGGGTTCTTTAGATGAGACAAGCCCACAACGCACAAAAAGGATACTTATATATTCGTCTACATGTGCGAAAACCGGAGGATAGAAACCAAGAAAAGATTGCTAATGAGTGAAAAGAAGACCCATGAACAGAATAAGTAGATAGTTCCTCCTCTCTTTCTTCCTTTGAGCTTTTTATCTTCTCTGTCCAATTTCTTAGAATCGGATACCAAGTTAGCGAAGTTGGTATTTACAATGCTGGGAATGAGGACTCCCTTCCCCGCACTAAGAGGTCATACAGCTTCACTGGATCCGATCCTAAAAAAAACCAACTTTTGACGGGAGATGGAATCGGGAGAGACCGGGATGAGCGCAAGCTGGAGTGGCAATATCAGGCCTATCCGAATCTCTGGGTGAGTGCAGTGATAAGATACGGATAGGCCCAGATCGGATCTATGGATAGGTCCACCTGGGCACACGTGGAATTGGAATTAAGGTTTCCCCGTCAGATCGGCGGGTCGGCGAACTCGTCGGGGGAGAGATATTGCCAGATATGTACTGTTTGTCCAGCGCTTATATACAATCTTCCTGCCTGTCTATACAGATGTGAGAATATGCATTGTCGTTGTTGATATCCATAACCATGACTATGTTTAGTTTGCAAAGAGCCCGCCAGGCCATGGCAACCCGAAAAGAGAACCTCGCTGTGGCAGTAAAGAGCAAGGAAAGCTTCAAGGCCTACCTCCAAGTGCCGGGGATCATTGAAAATAGCGAGGAAGAGGGCCGGTTTCTCTGGTCCAATGAAGGTTGGAATTCAATGCCCAAATTTTCTATGTTCGTCCTACTAATAGTGCTCAGACCTCCTGCCAGTTCCTCCCGAGAGGCGCAATTGGACGTACAGGACTTATTCGTTCCTTTACTTTGGCTGGGCAATGGACAATTGGACCCTAGGATCGACTATGATCGGCATTGGCCTCAACTGGTGGCAATCGATCTTGGTCATCCTCGCTGGCCAGCTGATTAACTCAATCTTCCAGGCCATCAATTCGCGCTGCGGCTCTATCTACCACATCAGCTTCCCAATTGTCTCGCGTTCCGTTTCTGGCATGGTAGGCTCCTACTTTGCCGTTGGGACACGATCTGTCATGTCGGTCGTCTACTATGCTCTCAAATGTGGGTCTTTATGCCTGCCCCCCATCGCAGACGGTTGCTAATGCAGAGAACTATAGTATACATTGGATCTAATTTTGTGAGAAACATGATGCGTGCCGTGTTCGGTCATGCCTTCAGCAATATTCCCAACCACCTGCCAATCTCCGCGGGCATCACGACACAGGGAATGATTGCATTTATAGTATACTGGGTGATCCATATACCTATCATGTTCCTACGACCAGACCAGATGCGATGGATATTCACCATGAAGATAGTTTCTATCTTTCCAGCCTACATCGGGCTGTTTATCTTCTGTATGGTCAACACACGCGGGCAGCTAGGTAGCAGCCTAGCCTCGGCCAAGGAGACGTCGAGTTGGCAATTTAGTTGGTTTGTCATGGCTGCTATCAATGCCTCCATGGGAAATAACTCCCTCACTACCACCAACCAGCCCGACTTCTGTCGTTGGAGTAACAAACCTTGGGCGCCTGTTATCCCTCAAATCATCTTCAATCCGCTCGCTGTTACCATCGCCTCAACTTTGGGGATTTTAGCCACCGCTGCTATCAACAACTCCTGGGGGCTCGAGCTGTGGAATCAGTGGGATCTTCTCGATGAGATTATGACCCGTTATTGGCGCCCAGAGGTGCGGTTTGCCGTTTTCCTATGTGCGCTCGGCCAGGCGGCCCTCGTTATGGGCACAAATGTTGCCGGTAACATTATCCCACTGGGTAGCGATTGCTCCATGCTCTGGCCACGATATATCAACACTGTCCGCGGCCAATTCATCGGCCTGTTTTTATGCTAGTGCGTTGTACCCTAGAAAATTATGGCCTCAGCTACTACCTTTACGACATTTCTGAGCGGCTATGGTATGTTCTTTGCGGCCATTGTTGGGCCTACTATTGTGGAGTATTACTACTTCGCACGCGGTAATATATTTGTTCCAGAGCTATACCACGGGTCAAGCGACAACCCTTATTACTGGTTCTATAAGGGTTGGGGCCTACAAGCCTACGCCGCTTACCTTATCGGTATAGCTCTTCCCTTCACTGGCTTCGTCGGCACCCTTGGTGCCAGTGTACCCGCCGTCGGAGTTCACATGGGCGATATGGGCTGGCTTCTTTCATTTTTTGTCTCTGCCTTTGCCTACTATGTCATCTGCTCCATTTTCCCAACTGGTGTTCAGCGCGCTATCAAGGATCAAGGACTGGGGTGGGAAGGGAATGCAAAGCACCTAGAGGGCATCATCGAAGCCCTTGTTGGTGATGATCAATCTTCTGAATCGCAGAATTCTGCTGGGGGCGTCCGATATGTGCCCAAAATGAGCGAGTCTGAGCCCTTGGAAAAGAGTGTGGATGCTTGATGCAGGGCGTCTTGCCTGGAACCATCATGCAACTGCTCCCTATACAACTGTTGGTGTCTGGTTCATGTCACCTGTGGTGATGTATGATTTTTCAGGCTAGGTCCCGCTTGTTTGTCTGTGGGAGAGGAACGCTTCTCCTTCCTCTCTCTTTGTTCTTTCTCCCACAGTTCTCTGCTAGTTTGCAATATATTGACTGCGCTTCTCGCTCCCTACCTTCCGTAGAGAACCATCTTTTGAGCTTCAGGATATATCGTATTGGCTAAGCGATAGCTCTAGGGTGTGGTGAAACATGTGGTGGAGGCATATCCCTTGAGTATTGACGAGAAGAAAAAAATGAGAATGTTTGGACAATAGTATACAAGAAAGAAACATGTGTCAAACAAACTCGAAGATATGGAAATACATAATAAATAAAAGATCTACATCTATATCTTCATCTATATCTATATCTACATTACTCTCTCCAATCAGGTAAAACCTTGGAATTGAGCAAAACTTACATAAAAGGGAGGATTTCTGTGCCCTGAGGACCCACGTTGGAAGTATTTCAATATGTTTATATGTCAGAAAGCGACTGTCAGTGCTTAATTTTATCGATACAATCGGCTCGGGTCCCTGGCAGCCGTAAGGCTCACATATCAATGGCCGGCATATTATATTCCCCCAAGTTTTGGTCTGGACATTTGCAGACAAGTGACTGGTGGTGTTTGCTTCAGGTTATCAGGCCTGAAGTAGACCATTTCTACAGCAACTCTTCCTTTCTTCCTTCTCTCCTCATGCCCCCATCATTTTGCACAGTTTTTGGCACTAGGGATGGTAGAAACACATGTTCATTGCACATCTAGAGGAACCTACAATTTGAGATGAACAGACCCCAACTTGTAGTACACACACTACACCAATTATTCAATACGTAGGCATGTATCTGATAGATGGGAATAAAAAAACTTGAATGTTTCATGAGACAAAGTCAAAGTGTGAATTGTTATCAAAGAGTATCACTTGACCAAAACATCTGATTTATATTTCTTAACAGCTATGTGTTCCTCATTCCACCCCACCGTTGATCTCTACTACACTGCCATTGACAAAGCTACTCTGTAGCAGCCACAACACCACATCTGCCACCTCATCCGGCTGGCCCAGACGACCTAAAGCGATCTTAGCAGCCGAGTTCTGGAGAGTCGTACCGCCTATGACTACAGCCGCGTTGGTTGGGGTGTGAATGTCACCGGGTGCTATCACATTCGTCCTGATCCCCTGTGGCCCCAACTCCATCGCCATTGCCTCGAAAAGCCGACGATACCGGCTTTGGTTGCGGCATAGACGGCCATCCCCGCACAGGGCCGCACCCCCGCGATCGATGATACATTGACCACCGAGGCTCCGGAGCGTAAGTGTGGAATTCCCGCTCGGCAGACGTTGAAGGTTCCCTGCAAATTGACACTGACAAGCAGCTGCCAGTATGTATCTGTTGTCTCCAGGATGCTCTTCGGGGTGGGATTGACCCCGGCGCAGTTGAATATATGGTCGAGCCGACCGTGACAGGCTACCACTGCAGCAACCATGGCGTCCACCGCTGCGGCATCGCTGACGTCGACTGTGTGTAGCGAATGCGATTGGCCGGGATGCTTTGTGGAACACTTAGTCTCTGTCTCAGACAGTGCCGCCGAATTAATATCTGTCAGAGCGAGGGAGGCACCCTGAATGGCCAACTTTATACTGGTAGCTCGACCAATCCCGCTAGCTGCCCCGGTAATGAGGATGATTTGTCCAGCGAAGACGGGAGTAGTCATTGCCATGAGAATGATGTGATGTTGGTATACTGGACTATCCTCTGGTGCGTGACAGAAATCCGATATCCTGGCCAGGAGTTGGAAGAGCCGAGGATACAGATCAAAAATAGGGTGTAGAGCGCATCTGGGTTAGTGGGACCGGAGAGGAAAATAATTCCGATAGTTCTATGGTAATCTGTCGGCGGATATTCTTTTAAGGTTATCATCCTATCGCCCGATCGGCTTGCCCCATGGTACCGATCAGATAAGGATGAGCCAAACCTTGAAAGTGCCCGTACGGTATTTTGTGTACTTGGTATTCAAAATTCGAGATATACCTAGGTACTAGCTAGTAGGTAGGAACAGCTAAGGGGATGTGTTGAGAATCTTTTGCTTTTGGGTGTTTGAGGTCTGATTCGTATGCGAAATTACCAGCAATAAGCCAAGTCAAAATTTCGGCAATGAAATATCTTACCATATCCGATCTACTTGGATAGACCGAATCTAATACTCGAATCGGCGTTTTATACAGCACTCCGATCAGGATCAGGATCCAAATAATATAGGGACGAAAAGCCGACCCAGGGTGGAGTATAACAAAAGTAATAACCTGGACCCTTTCTAGTCCATCTGGTCTCTATTTCATTCATCCTTTTTCCAAGAGCAAACATTGTCAATGGCTGCCACACGCCTGTTCACAATCGAGCAATGCATTGCGGAAAACATCCCGCTATCCGCCGGATACCGTGACTTCGAAGGCTACAAAGGCAAATTTCCAGATCCCCAATGGCCCGGCAATGCGAAGCTTTGCGTCAACATTGTGCTGAATTATGAGGAGGGGGGCGAGTACAGGTCAGTTGTGAAAAATCCTATAAAAGCCAACTTACGACTGACACAAGACTTTTACAGTGTGGTCAATGGGGACATGCGATCGGAAACGGACCTCCAAGAGGTGAGCCTTACCGCCATAAAACATACCGACTCAACCTAATCTATGGCGGCTGACCTGCGACTGGGAACTAGATCATGGGCCGTCCCGTGCGCACCGGCCAGCGCGACATACAGATGGAAACGCAGTACGAGTACGGTACCCGGGTTGGCGTCTGGCGGGTGGCGCACTTTCTCGAACAACAGAAGATCAAGGCGACGGTGTATGCGGTAGGGCAGTCAATCCTGAAGTCTCCCGATGCTGCACGGTATCTAGTGCAGAGCGGGCATGAGATCTCTTCTCACGGGTATCGCTGGATTGATCACCATGCCTTGCCGCTTGCACTTGAGAAGGAGCAAATCGAGAAGAATATTGAGGCTATCCGCGAAATCTCCGGCCAGCCACCGCGGGGATGGTATGTGGGTCGCCCGTCCATGTCTAGCAAGGGATTGGTGTGCCATGTGTTTGACCAGCAGGGGCTCGAGCTGCTATACCAAAGCGATTCGTACTCGGATGAGCTGCCCTACTGGACAGCGCACCCCTTGGATCCTCACAAGGGCCTGCTGATGATTCCCTATACGTACGATGTCAATGACAACAAGTTTACCACCTCGCCGGGCTTCACTAGTCCCCGTGACTGGTTGGAATATTGCAAGGCCGCATTTGATGTGTTGTACGAAGAGGGCTGCAACGGTGAACCCAAGATGATGACTATCGGTCTTCACAGCAGGCTGATTGGCCGGCCTGCGCGCTTCCAAGCACTACGCGAGCTTGTTAAGTACATACAAAGCCACGAGGGTGTCTGGTTCGCTACTCGTGAGGAAATTGCTCGGCATTGGATCAAGACACATCCATTCGATGAAAACAAATTGAATCGGATCCCGCACTTTCTATAGCAACCTAGTTAATCAAGTGAGACAGTTAGAGATCAACTGAAGGCAATCTTAAGATACGACTCCATAATAAATACCTACATCAACCAGAGGAGCTGGCCTTGCTGACCGCAAATAATATGGGAAAATCTAGCTGTAAATAGTGTCATACAACTGGTGTATACGTTCTATTATAACCCATCTAGCCCATTTCTAAGAAAGCTTCATCTTCATAACCTATCCATTGCCCTAGCAAGTGTACTTAGGGCATAGCACTCCGCAATCGCACCATTCTAATTTTTTGTGATTACAGCATATATGACGAAAGGCAGGAGGGAGAGAGTTGTATTAGAAAGGAAGCAAAGCCCCCCCGACTATCTACCTATGGAGCAGTAGACGCCCGAGGCACCCAATTTTTGCCCTGAAGCCAGGCCACAACATAAATTATAGGAAAAGAACCCAAATCGGTCGCATTGAGCTAGCTGCTAAGAGAGATATGGGAAAGTCAGACAAGGAGGGGGGGGGGAAGGGGGGCAGGTCCCATCCGCTTGAGTGAGAAACGCTGTCTCAACATAAATTGATGGAAGCACCCGTCTAGTTTATTGTATACCCCCCATCGGCCAATAAGGAGGCACCCTGCACAAAGGTCGCCTTGCTGCTACACAAAAACAGACACACGTCAGCAATTTCCGATGGCTGGCCCATCCGGTTCATCGGCGCAATGGCGATAGCGGACGCAAAAAGTTCACGTTGCTCCTCTGAGCCTTGGGTCATGGGCGTCCTAGGGAGGTGTACATTAGAATGACGAGCCGACCAGAAGAAAGGAACAGCAGAGAAATTGCATACTCGACCAGACCAGGACATACGCAATTGACGCGAATATTATCTTTAGAGTACTAAATCCAGCATAGATGGGTTAGCAAAGGCAGGGTATCAGCAGACAGAGGGCAGTCAAACATCAATGGCGTCGCTACGGGTGAGCGATATGACGGCGGATTTGCTAGCACAGTAGGCCGCTGAAGAAATATAATTTAGTCCTCGTCAGATAAACCAAACCTCCAGGTAACACTCACGTGCAGTCGATCGCGATACAACGCCCGGCTGGCTAGCAATATGAACGATAGCACCGCGGTTGCCAGGTCGACCGTCATGGGATGGCAACGGGGTCTGCGTTGACATTTGGGCTAGCTCAGCGCGTGAACATAGCCACAGGCCGCGATAATTGACATTGTTGATCGCATTAAAATCGTCAAGAGTGAGCTCTGTTGAGCGTTGCGCTGGACCCTGGATTCCCGCGGCGTTGACGGCGTAGTCAATACGCCCCCAGCGGGCCACGGTGCGCGCTGTCATGGCTACTACTGACTCGGGCAGTGCGACGTTGACCATGATCGCCTCAACCGCTGCATTTGGGGCCTCCTTAGTGATCAAATCCTGCGTTTGCGCCAACCCTTCAACTGATCGGTCGGCTGTGGCAATTTTCTGGCATCCGGCAGTGGCAAACGCGAGAGCAGTGGCTCGGCCGATACCTAGTTCAGTCAGCATACATCTTTTGTGTGTACCGTAGTCAGAAGGTGATGAAGGCAGGGAAAGACGCACCGGACGCGGCACCGGTAATGAGAGCAACCCCAGGGAAAAGCGTCATTATGCAATGAGAAAAACTAATGCATACCAAATTTGCCGACTAACACTCCTTATAAAGTCAAGCTACCGGCCCAATTAGATTGCCTACTGGGCCTCCCTATGTCCATGCCAGAGAGGGTGAGCGATAGGATAGAAAGCCGATCTTATCAGCCCAGTGGATATGCCCCCGATCGCCGATAGAATATAGTTCCATCTCAGATAGGGGCCCCGGGCTCAAAGGTGCTGCCTCGAAATAGCTAAAATATACATCACGTTGAGGTACAGTGCCCTTTGATTGCATTCATGGAGGGCGACCAGATTGGGCTGTTTGTCTATAGTTTTTGGTACTGAAGTGGGCATATACTAGTCATCGCACTGTACACCAAGGTTACAGCTCTTCAACTTTCTTTCGAATACGCTATTGAAATTTTGTGTGCAAAGCAGATTAGACTGGAAATTTTACCATAACTTCATTCTGCAGAAACTGAGCGAATCAATCAAGTTGATATTTATACGAATTGGATTCAGGTTGCATCGCAGGCAGGCTGTGAGAAGGAACACCCCCTGTAGTATGAGGCTGAGGTGTGGGGCACGACCATCTATCGTTAGGCATACATGCAGGCTTTATAGCCTCAGCTCAACTGAAGTCCCTGTCACTGCCTTCGTAATCAAATATAACGAAAACCTGGGTCTAAGGATGACCACTTTTATTGCAATTTCCAAGGCTAATATAACAAGTGGCAGTCCATTTGATTCAACTTTGAGTATTTGACGTACTAAAAACCAGTATTGGTGTGAGAGTACTTATTGCGGCATGGCCATACGAAGATCGTCCTGACCTTCTCGTGACATCTTCATGCAAAATCGAAACTATTGTCTCTGTTTCTGAGCACTTCATGGATACCATGGCCACCTTGCCAGATGTTATTCTAGGATGGACACGTCTGGCGTCATCTCTCGGTCCACATTACCCAACTGGAGAATTCATAACTGAGGCTTTCTGCAGTACGTGCGTCGCTGATGTCTCTGGTCCATTTCGTCATAGCCCGATGCCAAGGGAGCTCCATATTCCCTTATGTCGAGTATTTGAGGTATGCTTCCATTGTCACCTCGATGCGGAGGTTGACCGCACGGGGAGGGAAGGGGTCAATGTTATGAAAGAAATAGCGAAACACGTTGATAGCAACATTGATGACAGAGCTCTATAAGCTTGAGCACCCTCTCCAACCACATGAAGCACAACAGCATGAAGGATCTTCTGCCGATGCCTCTTCTTCGAACACAACTCAACCACAAAGTTTTTCCCTTTACACCGTGGCGTTGGAGGCCATGCTACTAGCTTGCACAGGCAGGCGCCTTTTTGTGACTGCGAACAACTTCATTGGCTTTTCATCCAAAGATATACAAGTAGGAGATGAAGTTCATGTACTGAGTGGGACAGGTGTTCCATTTGTTTTGAGACAGGTTCTTGCCGATAGACAGGTGAAAGGAGAGAACACCGAGGACGAGGAGCTTTTACAAGCAATGCGGCTGATAGATGAAGATGACTTGAAATTATATCGGATGGTGGGAGAAAGTTACATTCATGGGTTTATGCAAGGTCAATTGTCTGCGCGAGATGATGGCGAATGGGAAGGCATATGTGTTTGCTAAAACGAATTGATATTCGATACCAATAATATTCGATAAGCGCCATGCAAGTATGGCAATTTGGACTTGTGAATTATATATATAGAGTTATTTTAGTTACATTCCCTTTTATACAACTTTGGGGTTTTCTACTTGGGACTTTCCTATAATATTTGGGCGAAAATCCCAGTCAAGCTGTCAAATTAAGATCAATATAAACTCAAAGATGATCCTGATATTTTAGAGAGACCTCTGGGCCCCATTGGTATTTACATCAGGTGCTGGTAGAATCCTCGTCACGACCCCGTTCGATATCCTCGGGAGGACGATAATGAGAGGCGTCCGCCGCTTTCTTCACTCCATTTTCGAAGCGTTCATTGATTCTCTCGCTGAGATCGGTTATCTTCAATGGGTTTTCTTGAACTAACAGTCTCTTCGCATCAAAGTCCATCCACCATGAATCGTCATGATCCCGCCGATGCGGAAGTAAATGCCAATCAGAAAGACTCCCCATCTCCTCAGGACTCAAATCTAGCCAAGCATAGAGGTCCTGACGCGCAGTCGATCTCTGTTTTCGATTTATAATATCTGTGGAAAGTCTCCTGGACCAGCTTCCATCCTTCGATCTGATGAATTCGAAATGATGAGGCCATTCAAATACAGTCGCCTTCAATCTTTTCCCCGCCCAAACAGGATATGGAGGCGAGCTACCCTCTGATTTCTCGCACCACCACTTATAAATCCTTGAATCATCACAGCCGACTCCGTAACAAATGAGCACGGTCGATGTGACCATAACCACAACGACATATAATTGCGCTGCAAGCTGAGCCATGCCTAGTGTGACAATGTGTACCGAAAATGCCACCCATCCCACCCACTGTACCAGGCGATAGCGCCACCGTGAAGATGGCGAAACATCTGTGACAAATATTGGCCGGAGAAGATGCTCTGGTATGAACATCGTCACGATTCGGGAGTCCGGCATGGCAACTAGGATTTTGACAACCTCCGGTCGCCATTTCGAGTCCTGTTGAGGTTGAATCGCATCGCCGTCTGTTTTCATCTTTTCTCTCCACTCATTCATGGCGCCAACAAATGTCGTACGAAGGGGCTTTGCCGCTTCTACTGCTCTATCAATCGCATTGCGGTTGGCCTGCAACAGGTATGATCGAACGCCAGTCAAAACGGCGAGTGCCACAGCATTGGCAAACCCGTACCAGTCATTCGCAAGTATCGTCATCACAATAAGGAACCCAGTGAATACAAATGAGATAATGCCAGCAACAATGAACCCTCCCGATTTATTCTGTGGTACTTCTGCGATTTCCCAGTACACCAGACTGCGTGAGGTTTCGAAGTCTTGTACTTGCATCCATCTCGTAAACCAGGACGCGAGATTTCCGGTGACAATACCGCTGGAGACATTATACAGTGTAAATGCTGCCTGTTTTGATCGAAACCGATCGTTCGCAAATATAAAACTTGCCAACAAGGGCATATATTCCAACCAATAACTTGGTGCTAGTCGACCCACGGAGGAATTTACCTCATCGGCGCCGAGTAATGTTACCAGACCCAGTGCGTCAATCTTAAAGGGGGACCATGAAGCTAGTGAATTCCAAGGATAAGGCATGATTTCTCTTGTGAACTTCAAGAGAACGACTTGAACGCACAAAAAACAAAAAACAAAAAACAAAAAACAAATTTAAGATGTGTCTAAGTGCTTGGGCTCAGCCGCAGTGCGGGGCTAAATCGACAGCCTCCATTTCACGAGGAAGCCCAACTAGGTACTTCGTACTCCGTACTCCGTATTGTAATAGTAATAGTAATAGTAATAGTATTGGTAGTATAGCCAAGGCTAGGCAGAAAATACTCTTCACCCTTTTTCTTGCATGCAACAAAATAATGGTGAACTATGTTGGTTTTCCCCCTGTTATCCTGGGTTCAACAGAAGTAGACCTTCTCTAGACCTACGAATATACAATTCGGCATTTCATCCCTAACTCACCTCCTTAAACGATGGATACTATCTCAAATATGATTGATTATGAGATTCAATAATCAAAATTGCGCAGCACTGACTAGATAACTAAGAGGTTCTATAGAATATGTCCATTATTGACAAGAAATGTGCAAGTGTTAAGACGATTGGTGCATGCTCAGCCATCATCAGCCTGAAACACCTGTCCGGGTAACCAATCATCTCGACACGTCTTAATAGACTTATCTAAATGACCGAGCAAATTCATTTCCTCATCGCTGAGCGCCCATCCATCCAGGTTGAAGTTTTCCTGGATTCTTAATGGGTGGACACTTTTTGGAATCACACTCGTCCCACGGTGTAGACCCCACATGATTCTAAAAGAAGTAAGTATCCATCTACCACCCAGACCCGGAATTAAAAGTAGAAAACTTACAAGATCTGCTGTGGCGTTTTTTGTCTGGCTCGGGCAATGTCTAGGAGAGTTGGATCTGCAGGCAAGGCAGACTCGCTGGACCCTAGACAGGAGTATGCCGTGCAGTGAATACCGTGGCTGTGGCAGTATTCAAGTAAATTTCGTGATTTCCAGTAAGGATGAAGCTATCTGCGGTTAGAAGTTTCGTGCAACCTTTTTAGGACTCAGAAAACTCGGATATTTACCTCAATTTGATTGACAGCAGGGGTAACATGGCATGTCTCATCATAGAGCAAGGTCTCTAGATGCTTGACACCAAAATTCGAGACACCGACATTTCGAACCTTTGCTTTCGAAATGAGTTGCATCTGTTGCCTATTAAACAGACTCAGTATCATCTCAAAAGTTGAATATGACTATAATTGCGCACCATGTGTCAACAAAGCTCCAGTTCGGAAGCTGTTTTGTCAGATCATCTGGATCCGTGGATATAGGCCAATGCTTTGTAGCATGGTTAGCTGGTTTGTCTTGTCATATTTGCACACCAAATAGTTACCATCAGGTAAAGGTCCACATAATCGACTTTGAGTGCCTTGAGCGATGCCTCGATGGCCCGATCAACGCGGTTATGCCACTGGTTGTCGAGCTTTGTAGTGATCCAAATCTCCTCCCGCGGAATACCTGAATCAAATATCGCTTTCCCAATCTCATCTTCGTTTCCTGAGGATTGAGCGGTGTCGATTGAGCGGTATCCTGCTTGTAATGCCACTTGAACAGCTTGATATATTTCGCCCGGCCTTTGAGCTCTGCGGGTTCCTAGACCAACAGCAGGAATCTTTGCCCCCGATTTGAGTTGAAAGGTTCTTTGTTGGAATGGGAAATAAGCTTGCGTCGAGTATTTTGCACTATTTGCGTTTATGGCTAACTTGGCGAAGGAGTTGTTTGTAGTAAGACACGGCGTCATTGTTGTACTTGGTCTGAGAGGGCGCTGAATCTTTCGACCGGATAGAGAAGACTTGACGGCATCCATAACTGAAACAGTTTCTGTTAGGCTCTCTAGAGAGCTCAGAAAGTCTGGTCTTTTCCCGGTAACCCAGTCACCAAATTCCTGCACCATTGAGCGTATCACATCTTTCTCCACGGGGTTATGGACGACTCTCAGTGTTTCGTGTCCTCGGGAATCCCGATGAACGATGTTGGATCCGTCGAGAATCAGGTAGCCGTTTGATCCAGTGACAGTGATGGATTGTGAAAAATCATATGCAACGCGCGACATGTGAACATGGCCTGTACGGTTGATACCTTCCCAGTCCATGATAACGTCTGATATGTCGTCGCCGCCATATACTTGACAGGGTCGAATGGGCGAAACACCGTACGTCATCACCGAAGATGGTGCACCAAACATCCATGTCACAATATCAAGCATGTGACATCCAAGGTCTTCCTGCAGTTAACAGTTAGTCGGTGATACCTATCATAGCAAGGACGATGCTCTAAGCCTACTGCTGTTCCAACACCGGAGGATGCTCGCCAAGTAGCATCTAGCTTTTCGATATTCAACGTAAGACTCGCTTGGACCGTAGCGACGTCGCCCACTAGTGGAAGTAGGTTCTTCAGATGTATAAATTGTGGCTCAAATCGTTTCTGGAAAGTGACACCTATTTTCACAGGCAAGGCGCTCATGCTTCTGAACTCATCCATGCACTCGGTCACTGGTTTTTCTTTCAGAATCGGGACCCCTTTGTCGGACAAGGCCATAACACAGTCCATATGGAACCCATGTGGAACGGACAAAATGGCGAAATCAGGTGCATGTTCTCGGAGAAGTTGAGCGAGAGAAAGATATGCAGGCACATCGGGGTGGTTGTTAGAGAAAGTATCTAGAACACCACGGTCGGTGTCGCAAACGGCCACGATTGAGTTAGAAGGGTCAGTGAAGAGACTCTTGAAATGGCTTCTGTATCCTCTGTACCCAAGTCCAATTAAAGCGATGCTGTAGGATCTCAGCCTAGGCAAAACATAGGATTCAACCTTAAAGCGGGGGCTGTTCTGAAAGAGGGGTCTTTTCCAAGACCGTAGTAGGCCACCGGAGTGTCGCCTGTGCATTTGGAGAGTCTGTCCTCAGTAGAATGCAGCTACTTTGATAGAAATATGACCTATTTTGTGCCAGAAACATGTTTAAATAAATTTATTGCAGAAATCTGAGAAATAAGCCTCACGATAGGCCTCATTCGGGGAGGAAGCTTGGCCCGGGGATGGTAACATTTGACCTTTGTCGAGGCACTCATTATTGACCTATCATATGAAATGCACATCCATATTCCTCCTGCAGCTAATTCACGTGCAGCCTGTTATCTTATGTGGGTGAATCACGACATAAATACAACCAGTGAAAGTCGGTTTGTGGGTCAATCAGGCACCTAAATACTCCATAATTTGGGAATCTCTGCATTGCTTTACCGGGCGAAACATACGTTGTAGATGTTTACAACATAGATGCCTGATGCCCAATCCCTGATAATCCACCACCATTTTTCGACCATTGTTCGAGATCTCCAACTTCAAATACACGTTCTTTCTATATCTGATACTATATGTTCTGCTTCCACAAATGCCTTCGGCTCTAAAGAACCTTCAGCTCAAGCCCCGGTACTTTGTCATGCCTGTCAAGTCATGCTTCAACGACCATCCCGGATGTCTAGCTCGACAGTTTGCGACATGCTTATGCCTAGCGGAGAACACCTAGCAAGCAAATCAACTCTACCGGACGTCTATGTTAGCTTTCAAAACCACCACCAAAGCAGTGCAAGCTTAAATTATGCCGCCAAAAGCGGCTGATATGTCTGTCAGCCCTTGTGGGGCTTTGTGCCCAAAATCGGCTGCGGCTCTGATGATGAGGTACCGATTTGTAAACTGAGATATTTCAGCATACACCCGGAAGAGAAAATCTAATTTCTGTCGTAATGACATTGGAGGTCGATACGGACGGAACTGGTGCCACCAAATATAATCCGATATATCATCTCCACAGACATCCATGTATTTGCTACTACCCGGGCGTGAGAGGCAGGCTATCGCAAATGCCACTGGAAGAATGCACCAGCACTGCACAGGGGTGGTTGGATGAGTGTCTAACAAATCATAGCAAATGCCGAAGAAATATTGACCCAAGCTTTTATCCCACGCGACTCCTTGAAGTCTGTGGATCCACTATACGCTTGATACATCCCGCTGAATAATCGGTTACTTGTCCATACGCTACTTTGAGTTACTGTTGGGGTAAAAATCCCCGTTTTCGTTGTCTGAAATCCTCAAACATAGAAGGCGAAGCATACACCATCGGAGAGCTACAGCGAGGCATCTGCTTCACTGATCTGCCAAGCCTTTTTCATGAAATCATCACTTTCCTCAAATCTCTACCCCACAACGGTTCTCCTATCCGGTATCTGTGGATTGATGCCCTCTGCATTTTACAGGACTCGGAAAAAGACTGGATTTTTGAGTCTAGTCGAATGAAAGTTATGTATCAGAACTGCGTTGTCTGCCTATCCCCTGCCAATGCTGAAAATCCAGGCCAAACATGCCTTAATGGATATTCCCCGGACTCCACACCACCTTTTGAGATGGAAACAATATCCTTCCGCAAAGGCGGGCAACAGAAAGCAGTCGTTCTCAGCTTGGAAGACAAACAAACGCTCTGGACTAAAATAGTCGATGAGTATACCGAACGCGAGTTAGCATATCCCGAGAAAGACAAGTTTCTAGCCTTATATAGAGTTGCAAGCTTCTGGGGAAGCAGTATGGAAGATGAATACATAGCCGGTCACTTTTAGAAGACATTGCCCTTCAGCCTGAATTAGAAAATCCACTACTAGCTTCATGTAGCAAAGGCAACCCAAGGCCCTCGGCGCCGGATAAAGACCATCATTAGGGGTGAATATGATAAGCCGATGGTCGCACCAAGCTGGAGCTGGGCGTCTGTCCATGGGCCATTGGTGGTCCAACGTTCCAGGGAATCTTTCTGTATAACACCACTGACCAGCGCAAAGTATCACAAAGTTGTTTGTGTCGGGGAGGTTGGTACTGACCCGCCGCAGCTCACCATTTGCTTGGAGATAGATGCTTGCATGGCAAGATTCGAATTGGAACAAGATGAACTTAATCCCGGGCCTAAGAATGATTCTAGGAAGTTTTTTGTTGACGCTCAACATTATGTGGACATACATATTGACGATCCTCAGAAAGACAGACTCGATAGATCAAAACTCCGGTTTGCTGGCTTGGTCTTTAATAAGAGGTTTGATCCTTTTGTGGAGGGATTAGTGATACAGGAGACGGAGCAGGAAAGGCAAGAAACGATCTACAAGCGGATTTGGCACTCTACATTGCAGAATTTAAAGCGGGTTGGCTGGAACCCCAAATTTTCGATTCGGTGGAGGCTTTTTTCTAGTTAGAAAGGGAAGAAATATCTCTGCCCAGGTGGTCTGAATAGTTAACAAATGGCACTACTTGGGGCGTGCTCAGTTGTACTGAGCAAAAGGCAGGGCTGAGCACTCAAACGGAAAGGGAAAGCCAAGATGGAAAACTTTGACTAAGCACTGATAATGGACTGTCATGTGACCTACAATAATCTGTGTGGGCGGGTATAACATAGACCACGGAGAAGACGTACGGCACTTTGGCAACTTTATACTTTGATGATTACAAGAATAGTCGGCCGCGTTTGCGACCTTGTGATGTCTCATTAGTTGGTCTTTCTAGCTGATCTTTTTTGGTTAGTCTTTTAAATGTCTTTTTAGCTGGTGTTTTTAGATGTATAACGACTTTTCTATGTATAACCTGTGACTATCTTGCTATAATATATTGATCGTTTCATATTTTGTGTTAGACTTTAGTAAACCATGTCTATCTAAATTTGTGTATGTCCACTTCCATCATCCCTCTCTAGCTTCATCTGAACGGAGTCTTGTGTGAGTGTAGTATACAAACCTGAGGATCCCATTCCCTAAACGCTACGGACTAGGAAGTGGCTCCACTTTCGGGGATTTTCCCTCGAGATGTTTCAGTAGGAGGAGACTTCTCGACCACAAGAGTAATTATAGGTATCTGCTCCGTACTCCCGTCAAAGTATTTACCCAGGTGCATCCTATACTCCGTATTTACTTCCACTTCCGACCAGGATCTGCGCATCTAGACACCACGTTGGGGTTTTTGCATGTTGCAGGAGCAGGCCATATAGAAACCATTCTGTATGGATATACGAAGTACGGAGTAGGCACAAGTACAATGTAGAAGGTGGGAATCGTCAGGAGCCTTGAGTGAATACATATGATGTCTAGGTATACGAGTATGATGGATGGCGAAAAAGGGATCGATATCTCAAGTAACCCTCACGACTCGAGATGAGTGGCCCCATTTTCACTAGCCCAGCAGTCCACCAGCTAGTGCGAGTCAGCAAAAAGGCGCCATGCAGGTATATCGACTTCTAGAAAGGTCTCGGCAGTTTTAGACCATCGGGAATCCGAATGGAAGGGGAAACATGCACGCTAGTGACTTGGGGAAAGCTATTGATCTAAGGTCGTAAGTCTAGCCCAAGTCCAGCTTAAACCCGCTCTGTACTTCTTCCCTTGCCCCGGCGATTGTACACGCTAGACCCGGTATCTTCGGTTAAAGGCTGAATGCTAAAAGGCCGAGACTTAGATCTACATGTAATATCTAAGTAACTTACTAAATAGTCTAACCTCTCTTTCTCTGGGGATGATTATCTAGGATGTTACATCGTATATAGAACGGGTTGATCCCGTTCATGTTGCGCTGTCATCGAGATAGCCTAAAACATGGGGGAAGTATAAGGTGAAGAGATACAGCCAAAAGTAGAACTTGAAGAAAGCTCAAGAGACCAAGATAAGTGAAAAAAGGGCCAAAAAGTGTTGCGATTCCTCATTATTTCGTTATTTTTCCCCTATACAAACTCAGCTCCGCTATCCACTTCTTTCTCTCCCCTCCCCCCTCCCCTCTCTCTCTCTCCCTCTCTCTTTCTCTTCTATCATTTGGCGATCTCCACCCGATCTTCCCGTTGCAATTTCAACTTGATTCTTCATTATTGGGAATTATTTTTCTTTGAAGTCCTTCCCCCCCTCATTCTGCCCCCATCCCAAAGCGGCCTACATTTGCTAGAATCCGCGAAAACACATATACCCACAAACACCTCTCATAGAGAGCATAATCAGAACCTCCCAATTTCGAAAGGGACTGATGAAGGTATGTGCGCATTTCTTTACTCACTATACCCTATCCCAAATTCCCCCTCCCGTCCCTACAATAATAATGATATCACGCCCGTCTCAACCAATTTCCCTCGGGTCGCTTCTTCAGACCATCACTGACACTGACAGCGACACTATCGCTATCGCTATCGACTGGCCGGAGGATTGGACGCTCACCGCATTCGCTAGGTACTCCTGCATCTCTCAGACAAACGACGGTGACCCGCGCCTCCTTTGTCCTGGTTTCCCATTGCTTCCCCTCTCCCGGCGCCTCGACCGAATGTGCGACCTCAATACCCAACCTCTCACCGGACTCCATGTGGTCTCATAACATTTTCCTGGACAAAAGCGACCCCCAATTATACAAGCGCAGCTGTGCCTCATACCTCGGGTGCCAACAAGGACTTCTCATCGGTTGTCTTGAGGGAGGTTTGTGTTGGGCGCGATTAGGAAGTGAACCTGTCTCTCCTTTCATTACATATTGACGGGTTTCATTTTCGTTTTATGTACATCGCCTGTCGAAGGGGCTGTCGATAACCAAACGAGATGGAGCCCGAGAATCCGAACGCGTTCAAGCGGAGCTCGATGCACCAAGCGTTATACAGTCGTCCAGTGGAACGGCGTGCAAGCAAGAAGTCTTCATCTAGGGACCGGCATGGTATGGTCTATCCCGACAGTTTCAGAGAAACTACCATTCGAACTGTCACACCAGAATCGCACTCCCCCGCCAACCATTCTCCTTTATCCGAACCAGAGCACCTCACGGGCGGCACTTTGTCTTCACCTCGAAACCCCGTGCGATCACGGCCCATCGAACCCGAACGTCGTCGGGATTTCAGCAAACACTCATCTGGAGCAGGCGAAGAAGATCCTCCGGTGGAAGCAAGGAGTCAACGGGCGCGATCGCGGACAACGGCGGCAGAGGAGCAACGCAACGACATCGCTCCCAACACCTTCAAAGCTCGAACGCGGGTTGGATCCATTAACACAGCCAGTCCCTCTCAACCCAAATTGCCTGAAGATCCATCATCTTCCATCGGGTTTCCGTCAATTGAGTCCCCAAAATACAGCAGCCAGACCGTCCCTCGCCATCGACTGACCAAAGCTGCCGGTTTGGTCGCCGGTGGAGCACAAAATCAAGATTCGTTTTCCTCACCTCTCTCCGGTGCGGAAGCCACAAAAATCCTACAGTTGATGAAGACTACCTGTGGGAGAATGCATGGAATCCTATCCTTTCGAACGGCCTCGACCACTTCCTGGACATCCGGATACTGCGCTATCAATGTCGCTAATGGAAGTCTCATTTACCAAGCCAAGGGAGAGCCGGCATTGGCCAAAACATTGATCCCTGATCTACGTGGTTGTCGGGTTCGGACATTGTGGGACTCTGAGCTTCAATGCACCTATCTGAGCGTTCACACATTTACTTCTGGGCTTGGGATACAATTACGACCTCACGTGAACGAAACTTTCGATTCCTGGCTTGCAGCTCTACTGTGTTGGCAACCAATCCGGCCCAAGGGTGTTCAGAACAAGATGACAAAGCCTCAAGAGGTTGTGATTGGAGACCGACGAATCCCCGAACGTCGGCGCAACTCAGAAAGCGCAGCACAAAAGGATGCAACTATCATCAAAGTTGGCAAGATGCTTCTATGGGACAAGCCGTCTGCTTCCGGTGCTATGCCAGTGTCCGGACGCCGTGTGTCCACATACAGACAGTCAAGGGCTCTTTCTTCCTCGTGGAAGAAGGTGAGCTGTACACTACAAGAAAACGGCTTTTTCAAGCTCTACACAGAGTCCGACGTGGTTCTTTTAGCATGTGTGCAGTTATCTCAATTATCACGCTGCGCTATCCAGCAGCTGAACTCCTCAGTGTTGGATGATGAGTTTTGCATTGCCATCTACCCTCAATATGCGGCACACCCAGTACCCGATTCCAACGTGCGGCCTATATACCTCGCTCTTGAAAGCCGTGTTCTTTTCGAGGTGTGGTTTGTGCTTCTCCGCGCCTTCACAATCCCAGAGCTTTATGGACCTGTGTCTCAGGGAGATGATTCCAATAAAACTCCGGAAACCGAGGCCGCCGAACCACCCTTGACCAAGGACATGTTCCGGATTGAACGATTCTTGAACTTGAAAATTGTGGAGGCGAAGTTGTTTCGAACCAAAGAGGAGGACACTCCTCGAAGCCGAAAGGCATCAAGATCACATGGGCAGCCTGTTCCAACCTCGAAGGTCAGCGACTATTATACAGAGGTGCTCCTAGATGGGGAAATTCGTGGCAAGACTGCTGTCAAGTATCGCACCATGAATCCTTTCTGGCGAGAAGATTTCCTCTTCACTGATCTACCGCCAGTTCTATCCCAAGCCTCTATCCTTGTCAAAACTCTCAACCCGACACAGAGGGACTGGACACTTATCGCTCACGGATCATACGTACCCAACCAAGACGTGAGTGCTGTGAACATGCTGGATGAGATCGAAATCTCTGCAAATGATATCATCTTCGGACGTGTAGACCTGCGACTTGAAGAATTGGATGCCGGTGTGGATATCGAAAAGTGGTGGCCGATCCTGGATAACCAAGACCAGGCAATTGGCGAGATGTTCATGAGAGCTAGGATGGAGGAAACCGTCGTCTTGATGTCCGACGAGTACTCGGCGATGTCGGAACTTCTCCATTCCTTCACCAATGGCCTCACAATCAACATGGCCCAATTGATGTCATCGGAGCTAAATCACCTAGCCGAGATGCTTCTGAACATTTACCAGGTCTCGGGGTCAACGGTGGAATGGATCTCAGCCTTGGTTGAAGATGAAATTGATGGGGTTCACAAAGAATCCACCACCAACCGGCTGAGGTATACAACGAGGATTCATTCGAATAACACACCAGAGACTAGCCAAGACCGCGAGTTCCTCGTCAGGGACATGGGAAGGACGGCCACTGTGGAGGCTAACCTCCTGTTCCGTGGAAATTCGCTTCTAACCAAGGCCCTCGATCTTCACATGCGTCGCCTAGGCAAGCAGTATTTGGAGGAGACTATCGCAGAACGATTACGTGATATTGATGAGAGCGATCCGGAATGTGAAGTCGATCCATCTCGAGTTCCACGGCACGAGGATCTTGATCGCAACTGGCGAAACCTTACAGCTCTCACCACAAGCGTGTGGAAATCCATTGCGGGATCCGCATCGAGGTGTCCCCCAGAATTGCGACGCATCTTCCGGCATGTCCGGGCGTGTGCAGACGATCGCTATGGTGACTTCCTGCGCTCTGTAACGTACAGTAGTGTTTCTGGTTTCCTGTTCCTACGCTTCTTCTGCCCGGCTATCCTGAACCCGAAGCTTTTCGGGCTCTTGAAAGGTATGGAACTATACTCGCCATCTTGGTTTTTTTTTTTTTTTATAGCCTTTTTTAGCCTTTTTGCTAACCACTTCCAGATCACCCTCGCCCTCGTGCACAACGTACTTTGACCCTCATTGCCAAAGCTCTACAGGGTCTAGCCAATATGACAACCTTCGGCAATAAAGAACCTTGGATGGAACCGATGAACAAATTCCTCGTCGGTCATCGCTCGGAATTCAAAGACTTTGTTGATTCGGTTTGTGCGATTCCAGCCGATCGACCAGTCCCTATCGTCACACCCTCCTACACCACCCCTATCCAAATCCTTGGGCGGTTGCCGCCCACATCGCGCGAGGGATTCCCTAGCCTTCCATTCCTTATCGACTATGCCCGCTCCTTCGCGAACTTGATTCGTGTCTGGCTTGATGTCTCCCCGGAACGACTCAACGAATTGACCGAGCTAGACGTCAATCTTTCTAAGTTCCAGAAAGAAGCCCTTCGCCTGCGAGCACGCACTGAGGAGTGTCTCAAACGGGCCGAGCAAGCAGAGCGGCCAAGTGGAAACCTTGAGATCAAATGGGAAGCACTAGTGGATTCGATGGAACGGCCCGTAACCTTCTACGACGAAAGCCCAAGCAAACCTAGCACCCCAGCAATAGACACGTCAACTGGTACTGCAGCGGCCCCAAGCAGCCATCGCAATTCGACTGGCTACTTTGCTACGCGTCCTGGAATTCCCCGCCGGTCTACTGACCACGCCGCCGATGCCGAGGACGACACGCCCCCAAGCTCGTCATCAGCGACCTGGGACCAAAGCCGCATTCCATTTTCCATTCCACGTTGGTCTGACCCACGCGACAGCACCGGAAGCTCGAAAAACTCCTCGACCTACTCGCTCGAGTATTCCGAGTCCTCCAAGGCACGCAGGTCCAGCGTCACGAAAGAGTCCTCCTCGAGCAAGTACCGCTTCTTTGACTTTGTTCCTGCTCCCTCCCGACGCAAGGCCAAGGAACGTGACCAGACTCAAAACCACTCGCACGAGGATCTACGCAATGAATCTTAATGCACCAATGTCTGCCCATGCAATCTCCTTTCTTTTATACACGTTTTTGACCCCTACCTCTTTTCGATGTGCTCATGATTTCAACGTTCCTCTTTTTCTCCCCTTCTCTCTCTCTCTACTCCCCTTTTTCTACCTTGCCTCCCCGAGTTCCGTTTTGCTTGATCATCTATATGTCTATGTTCTCCTCTAAAGCATGTGTCATGGTGTTGATACCCATTCCTTCTTTTTATTGTGTGTTTCATGGTCCCGCCCTCCCTTATACACATATCCTCCCAGCCGAGCTCTAAGATAAAAACAAAGAGAGCTCAAAGGCAAGAATCTGGATCTTTGGGAAGAAAAAAAAAGAACAGTATCTGATTTTTAAATTCGGCTGAGGCTCTTGTGTTTTTTTTACCTTTTTGGTCGTTCTGAGGAATCATTTTGGGTCTTTTGTGTGTTTGGATTTCCTTTGGAGATGGTGGCCATCGTGTAAATACCTTTTACTCTTTATATTCTTCCAATAGATGGAATGGATTGGTGTTTTTCGTTTTTGCAGTGTTTATGGCTCTGTTATTCAATAGAAATACAAACAGCAAATGTTGTTCGTTGAATACATCTGGACATCGGATCAGAACAAATATCAAACATGTCGCCTCCAGTCATAACAAGACAGTAGGGGATAAGCAGAGCCCTAGGGAACACCTCGCTTACAACACCGGGTCTTCGAGAGAAGAGAGAAGATCAAAACACATGTCAAAACAATTAGCAAATAAGCTGTACAGCCACATACTTGAAAAAACAACATGAAGAAGATGTAGAATACATATCACTTCCATAAGCAGAGCTTGCCACTAGCAGTGCCACCAGCAACCCAGTTCTTGCTACGGTGGAACACAGCAACAGCAGGTACGGCGGTGATTCCATCACCACCAAGCTGGGCAAGTTGGTCGCCACTGCTACTGTACACATCGACGAAACGGTTCATATTGCCGATGCAAAAACGCTGGATGGAAGACTGCGGGTTAATTTGCCATTGAGGGCGGAGACTATAAGAACAAAGTTAGGGCATGATACTTTGGTTAAACCAAAAGGGACGGAAAAGAAGGGAAGAGAAGGGTAACCATACATAGTAACCCAGCGGCCAGTCTGGCAGTTGTGTCGAACAACTGTGTCAGGAGTGAACTCCTTTTCTGAAAGTTTGTGGCCCTGCTTCCACGAAGAAAGACCCTTGGCACCCACGTCGTATATCTTCAGCGTATCGTCGTAGGAAGAAGTAGCAATCTGCCCAGCAGCATTGAAAGCTGCGTGGGAAACCGAGAGCCGGCTTTCATGCTCGGCAACAGCAGTAGGAGTATCGTGCGACAGCTTGCGCAGATCCCATAATCTCAGGAATCGATCCAGACTTGCTGTCGCGAAGTAGTGGGGCTGGGAGGGACACAGTGTAAAGCCTCCGATCTTCTTCTCAGAAAGATCCCAGTTTGACACATTGTTATCTTTGCGCGCCGTGCGTGTATCATATCGCCCGAATCCACCTTGCAGTGTAGTCCAGTACAAGGTGTTAGTGTCATCAGGGGTCATGTCAACTCCGGAAAGCGCCTCGTCAATGTTGGTTGACTCGGGGGCATAGGTCTCTGAAGAGACCATTTTCTCCAAGTCCAGTGAGCGAATCGAGCTATCATAACTTGCAGTATACAAATGTGTCGGCTTTGAGGGGTTAACCATCATTGCGCTGATAGTCCGGGTATGTGGCTTGAGTGTCGTGAGGACTGGATCTGGGTCATCCTCATCCTCGTCGTCCTCTCCCGCCGTAGGCTTTTCCTGTGAAGCATCCAACATGCCCAGATGACCCATTTTGTCGCCCGCAAAAATAAGAGGTTTGGATTCGGATGGATGAAACGCCATGCTGTAGACACGCTCCGGAGTGATCTTGATCCCTGTAATGATCAAAATTGCGTCAGAATGGTAGTTTGGCAAATATAGAGAGTATAGATATTACGCTGAGGATCCCAAGATTCCCACAATTGAAGTCCATTCATCTCCTCCCGAAGAGCCTTCAGCTCTTTATCTGTGGTTTTCTCGATTTCATCGTCCCCGAAGGTCCTTTCATAGGGCTTCGCAACACCCTTGGTGATGACATCCACGCTGATCAGGCTATCGGCACTGAGCTTCTGTCCCGAAACAAACATATCCGCCTGGCTGAACGAGTCTGTCCGGCGCATCCTCTTGATTCTATCCGCTTCGCGCATCGCTTCATACTCGTCGTCGGCCTTGCGCTTCGCTACTTCACTCTCGGCCGCAATGCCTTTCAGGCGCGAGGATGTCCGTCGGGGCGTGGTATCTTCCTCGACCTTCACTTTGACTTTAGGAGCCGGGCGCTTTTTCGGTTTCACACCATTGGTTCCGGGGGTCCTAGGGCTTGCGAAGAGCCCCGAGGATTGCGATTCAAGTGTGAGCTTCTTCAGCAGCGCATCACGCTCGGCAATGTTTGCCAAACGCTGCTTTTCAAAATCCGACAACTCGCTTTTCCCTGGCATGTTGAGTTCGGGGTTTTCTGGCGTACTGGGTTCGTATGCAGTTTGCGCCTCGGGGGTGCGAGGCACGTCCTCGGCGAAACGCGTGGAGCCGTTACACGACATCATGTGACTTCGCGGGAAGTTGATCACCGATTAGTCCGTGCTTGTAAAAAAAAAGAGAAAGTAATTTTCTTGTTGTTTCTTTTTTTTTTGGATTGAAGTTACCAAGTTTGAAAAGGTGGAAGAGAAGAGGAAGGGTTACTTCAGATTGGATTTACTTAAGAAGTGCACGAACAAGGCTGCGCAAGTGCAGACCTAACGACTCAGCAATGGCGACAAATATCAACCGGTTATGCTTCCTCTCAAGAAGTAATTCTACGGCTCCTTTCCTATATCACACTCGCACACTTACGCCACTCTCATCCGCGGCCCGAAAACAATTCAATCGTCACTTTCCGCGCTCTTTTTCCACCCAGAACAACACCGAGACCAATAATGCGACGGAGAACAAATCATTAGCGGAGGATCACACAAGTCAGAATGCTTCTGAAGAGTCAATTACCTCCAGCTCAACGAGTGAGGCAGCTCCTAAACCCCGACGAAGCTATCTGCAGAAACGAGCAGCATCTGTCTCCGAAAGACCTAGCCTCAGACCATCCGTGGTGAAGAAGACAACGAAGATAGCACCGAAGATCACAACCCAGGAGAAATTGATATTTGGAGGACTCTTAGAACAACTTGGATTCAAACACGATGGGGAAACTACCGAGTCGAGCTCCTTGAAACCAATGAGCGAGGAGAAGAAGGCCGAAATGGCCGAGCTCATGTCGGTGTTTGACAATCTGCTCAAAGACCCAAGGGCCAAGAAGGCGGCTTTGAAAGCCAAGCAGCAAGCGAAGGACGACTATTCTTCGTATCGAAGACCCGAGAAAACAGAAACGGAAGAACAAGTCCCAGCGGAGAACCAAGGTCCAAAGCGAATCAATCTCCGCGATCTGGGCTATTCCGAGCCCGCCACAGCCAGCGCTGCCGAAGTAACCGTCAGCCTGCGGAGGGCGATTGAGATCGTCGTCAAAGCGGAATCGGAGCACATCGAATTCGCACTCTTCCAAGCCGTCGAGGATGGCAAGGGCGACATGGGTGTGTGGGAGGTATGCAAAGAGCGCATCTTCTCTATGCTGCGTCACCTAGACGATAAATCTCTTGTGGAAGCTTCAAACCCCGAAAGTATGAGTACAACGGACCAGCCCGAACCATCCACTCGCCTGTCAGGGCCCCTCCGAGTCCCAGCCGTCGTCCCAGTCGCCCCCGTCGTGGTGGCTCTATACCCGAAGGTCCTGCTGATCGCCTTCCGCCTGCTCAACACTCACTTCCGTGAATCCCCGCTCATCCCCCAATTCCGCCCAACGATCAAAGAGTACGGCCGTATCTCTACTTTCCTCGGTGCTTCCTCTGGGCTGTACGATGAATTGATCCACTACCACTGGCGAGTATGCAAGGATCTTCCCGCAGTGGTATCAATCCTGCGCGAGATGAACCAGCTGGGCATCAACCCGAGTAGCAAGTCCCGCGGCATGCTGACCGGACTTATCATTCGTCAAGCCCGGGACTTGGAAGCTCACCGGAAATCCCCTGATGGGAAGGATTTCTTCTGGGATCTGCCATCTAACAAGGAGGCATTCAATGAGCTCACCCGTAAGGATGGGTGGATGGATCAGATCGAGGCGCGTTCAGAGGAAGAGGCGAGGCAACGTCAGGCCACTCGGGCTTTCCACCGCTGAGCTCTTGCCTCTTTTGGACAAGTCGGTTCTTATGTACAGTATAGAGTATCATGTATAAGTAATATCATCACGAAACTATATCAAGCTTCATGTTAATAAATCGTTCTTATTCATTCGGCTGTCGTGCTATTCATATATGTACAACAACAAATGCATTGAGAAAAAGAGCAAAAGAAAGGAAACAACCTCCACAGAGCCCTGGCTCTTCATAAACCTCCATGAATCCCCCAAAACTTTTCCGCATTGAAGGTATACATATTATCATCCTTCCACAAATCATCGAAGGCAGTAAACAGCACCAAATCCCCCCTCCGATGATCAAAACTCCTCCTCAAACTCGCAACAGCCACCTGCTGATTATCCGCCGAAGGAATAGCACCTCCATTCGAATCCCCAGCATGCGGCCACCCAGACTCCGTAATCATAGTACGCTTGCCACCCGCTCTGGCAGAGATACTACGGGCCTGCTCAAGCACATACGCGCCGGCGCCAGCAGGCTGCTGAGTCGCATCGAAGAAAGCATGGCAGTTCGCAGCGCAGTAGTCAGAGACCTGGCAGAGTTCCGGGTGGTCGAGGTGGACGGAGAAAGTATCGACTGTAACGACGGGACCTGTGTAGCCCTGTGCGCGCAGTACGGAGCGTGCTTTTTGCACGGCAGTCGCGACGTCGCTGGCCGAGTTGGTTCCTCCGTTTACGAGTTCGTTGCCGATGGCGATCGTGTGGAAGATTGACCAGTCTTTTTTGCCGTCCGGGCCTGTTACTGACTCGCCAAAGGCATCGAGGCTTCCTGGGAAATTAGTCAAGTCGTAGACCCCGGCGAAAACGAGCATCTTGTGTCGGCGCGCGGCATTGGTTACGGTTCTTGTTTGATCGCAGTCTGTGCCGTAGATCCGGATGAAGGAATATTCCGCGATTCGGTCTAGGTCGGCATTTACTTCTTCTTGGTTCTTGCAGGTGCGGTCTGCTTTGTATGGGGAGTATGAGATGCCGAATTGGGCGTGTGGGTGCTGGTGAGTGTGGGAATGAGGAGCTGGCGGTTTAGGGTGTGCGTTAGGGTGTTGGGACTCCTTGGGTTTATCTGGCGCTGGGTCGGAATGATCGTTCACGTCGTTGTCGTTCTTGGAAAATGCATGTGCTGGTGCTATATCGGGCACATCCGGTTCTGGGATTGATATTGGGAGTTTCTTTTGATGGGAGAGTTAGGGCTGGCTTTTCCATGAGGAACCAACATGTCTTCTCTACATCAGGAACAGTTCTATCTACTAACATTATCAGGTAGCGCAGAGGCCATGGCCTTGACGTAGTGTGTTTCCGTGCTGATATGCTCTCCCTTTTCATTGACCCAGACGACTACCTCTTTGGTGAAGGGTGGTAGGGGTGGTTGGGCGAGGTTCGTACCCCCAGCTTCAGCGCAAACACCACATGCAAGAAGCAAGCCGACAAGCGCCTGAGTAAGGCGCTTCATCTTGCGGCCGAGTTCTCCCTAGGGAAGCTGATCTGTAAACCCTCAAGTGAACTGATCTGAACTCAGAACTTGAACTTAGTCGACGGCGATCATAACAAGAGTGACTATCCAACCACCTAAAAGTAGAAAGCCATGCAAATGGTGCCGATCGGACCCATTATAACCATGCTCTCGGAATTCCATCTACGTGGACTTGATTAGCAGAGCGTGTAAACATGAGGATAGCCAAGCATAGCGCTTCGATCTGGGGAGGAGATGTGGAATGGATCCAGAGAGCTTCTAAGGTTCAAACATGCCCCTTGACTTGGTTAATGCTCCATTGGCATCTGATCTGCTCGGCAAAGAGATCTAATTTCGGGCCATGTCATACGGGATCTCAAAGTCGAGGAAAGACCGAGAATGCTCCTGATGATGGAGTAGATGGAATGTGGGGCCCATTCTCATCGGTCGCTTGGAGACGCAGGGGGATTCGGTGAATGTGAGACAGAATGCTGGCGAGAAATTATTTGATATGGTCGAAAGACATTGAAAGGGGGTCAGAGGAAGGGGCAGTCCTGAGGTTAAAGTCTGGCCTTGAAATGCTGGGCTTCTGGCCTGCTGGTGAGGCCCAGGACCATAAGATGAACAGCGAGTGGCTTGACATGTTGAATTTAGGATTCGGTTGATATCAGGCTGGCAATGTCAAACAATTCAAATTTGTATACCTGGGTACTACTATAACGAAAAGGAGAGAGAGAGAGAGAGAGAGAGAGAGGAGAACAAAAAAAAGACAAATAATCGGAGCAATATGGTGAATTCCTAGGATAAAAATGGTTTTCAGGCTTGAATAATGAAGGGGAAAATAGACACATCCTTGAAGCAAAGAGCCAAGGACAGAAGGATAGTATTAAACAACTTAAAACCATGCACAGGTAGAAAATGATACCGCCAGCGAAGAAAGAAAGGGCGGGCCTGTGCAAGGCATGCAATAAGAATGTACACCGACAAAGTAACAATACAAGTATTGAAGGGGCATTAGGGCGTAGGTCGACTGAGGAGAATGGAAAATCGATAGATGCCGAAGTCATATGGGCGTGAGCAGTCATCGGATTATCTGGTCAGGACCAGAAGCTAAGAGGCAAGGGAAGCCATTACTTCCTCTTGCTCATCACCTTGGTGATGGCATGTCGGATAATTGTTCCTGCCTTTTCAATCTCCTTCTTAGTGAGACCAATGGTGACGCACACCTTCAGGGCGGGCGGGATAACCTGCTTGGGCTCGAAGTTGTCATCAAGGGTCTTCAGTCGGGTGACTAGAACACCGTTGGCAAGAGACTGCGAGATAATTAACAATGGGCTCGAAGAGCGTTAAAAGGGAAGAAAGTGTAACACATACCTCATCGACGACATCTTGAAGCAAGAACTGCTGGTCGTCTGGTGTAAGTCGCTTGGCAGCCACAACCTCGGGCTTGATTACCAGGATCAGGATAGGGTTCTCAGGCGCGCTGGTGCAGTAAACCCAGTCACTCCGGGGATCCAACTGAGCCCGCATGGCCTTGGTGTGTTCCCTGAGTTGTGACACTGTTTCGGGGTTGTTCTGAAGGATGTTAATAGTGGCACTGGCGGTAGTCGAGAGCAAGGCGGGAAGCGCGGCGGAGAAGGTGTAAGCAGCAGCCGAAATACGCTGGTGGTGAACAATTTCCTCTGAACCAGCACAAAAGCCACCGCCAGCAACGAGGGGACCAGCTAGTGACCCCACAATCATATCGACCTCAGCGGCATCGACGTTCTGGTGCTCCGTGATACCACGGCCAGTGCGTCCCAAAACACCGAAGGACCAGGTTTCATCGAGGATCAGGCGGAACTTGTACTTGAGTCTGAGTTCGATCTGCGACAGTTGTTAGCACGACAAATTCACAATTGAACTTAACGGGATCACATACAATCTTGGGCAAGTCCGCCATGTCGCCATAAGACTCAAACAAACCCTCTGTGATAATAAATCTGCGAGTCAAGGGCTTCCGAGCTTGCTCCTTGGTAATCTTCGCGAGCACTCGCTCCAAATCCTCCATATCATTATGCTCATACCACCGGACAGTGCTACGAGAGATCTGGATACCCTTGCGAATTGCAAAGCTAACCCCCTTATCCGCGACGATGATGTCTCCACGCTTCGAGAAGGCAGGAATAACACTAGAAATAGTCGAGAATGCTTGGGAGTACATGATGCAAGCTGCGGTCCCAAGGAACGACGCCACATCATCTTCTGTCTTCATGTGAACGTCCTGTGTGCCGTAGAATCCACGGGGTCCGCAGGGACCAACTCCATAAGCGCGGAGTGTCTGGATTGCCTGTTCCTTGAGGGACTCATTCGTATTGAAGTTGTAAAAATTGAAGGAACCAAGGTTCATAACAGTGCGGCCGTTGGCCAATTTCGATTTTGGGCTTACGGGGCTGTAGATCCGAATTTCATCCGTCAGTAAAATGTCCGCGGAGCACGCTAGGTAGAAGGAATGGGAACGAAAGGGTTCCGTACCCAACAATTACGGTTCGCTTATCAACTTCCATATGGTCCAAGGTTGTTGGGCTCCCAACGAGGGGTTCAGGGGTCCATTCATCCACGAGGTCATCAATCTCATCTTCTGTGAGTGGTACGACGCCAGGTTTGGTCGAATACTTGGGCGCTAGAAGATATCGCACGGCGAAAAGGAAGAGGAAGAGTTCGACCGCAGAACGGATTGGGTCATCTTGATAGCTGGATTTCACGTAGCGGAGGAAGATTGCGGAGCCAGGCACACGGTGAAATAGATCTGCAAGTTCGTGGAGATATTCGGAAAGGATACGCTGGGTCTCCTGGAGATCCATGGCGGACGGTTGAACAGAGCGGAATTGATGTGATGCACCAGGCCAGTGAGATGCCAGAAATGCAATAGGTTAAGAAAGGGCGCGAGAGACAGGTACTTGCTCGAGTATGGGGGAGGATGAAACGGGAGGCTCGGAGTCCTGGAACCTCCGTGCCACGTGACCGGTCTATGGACCAATACATGTACTCGGGACAATCCAATTTTAACTAAGGAGATTACGATTACAGTCATATTAAAGAGGATTTCTCGAAAGCAATGCAATTTAATTCGGGTAGAAGTGTAAAATAAAACAAGCAAAGAAAGCTGGAAAAACGAAGGTAAACCCCCGAGGATGACCCTGGAAGACCCCTTCATACAAGCGTCATTCCACAAACAATATTTGGAAGCAGCCATTCATTAAGATCAAATTGTGCGCCGGTGAGTTCAGAAAAATGCAGCGAGTTTTAATAGACGCATAACTTTGTACAAAGCATTTCCATGTCGTTTCGCCAAAGCGATTAGATGGACCAGACTCCGGTGCCCTCTGAGGCTGCCGGGATGGTGCCTGAGGTGTAGCCCTTAGGGATGTTAGAGCCGGTGTACCAGGAGACGGTGTCATTGAGTCCGCGGTCAAGGGGCTGCAGGAGACCAATTCCCGTTGTGCTAGCGACACCGAGACTCTTCCAGATACCGCCCGACAGAATGCTATCCAATTGGTTTGTATTCCGCAGAACGACAGGCGCAGCGACAATGACGATAAAGATGAGCAGCATGGTAAAGTAGAGAATGGCGAAACGGACAACGCGTCTCTTGCGAAGCTTAGACTGCTTGAGAGTATAGATGGGAGGGCGGATTTGAGAGCTATAGACAGGACTGGTTAGTCTTGGGTTATTGGTATTTTAGGGTGGTGAGAAACGTACCTTGGGCGCAGCCAAAACAGGATGACCGAATGGAAGGTGTCAGCATAAGGCATGGCGAGGACCGGGAGCATGGCAAACAGGAGAATGTGGCCCAGGAAGAAATCGTTGGCGAAATAGCCGAGTTCAGTGATCTTGCACAGGAATTCTCGTCCAGGCTGAGATAGGGTGTGCCAACCCATGTTGTACCATTTTCCAGTCCACCATGCAATGTTGGATTGATCGTTCTTGAATTCACGAGTCAAGGCGAGAGAAATGATCAACTTGTAGATGAAGCGCTGGAGCGCCATCGCAGCAATCATTCCGGAGATGGTTCGGGCCCAGCTGAGGGATTCAAGGAAGAACATGGCCAGGAATAGAAGCAGGAATACAATCACGGCGATGGCATGAGCGATGGCTGCGAGAACAGCACCGAACTTCTTGCAGCACATGCCGAACAGTGGGCCCATACAGCAAGCCATGCCGAAGAACATGCCCGCAACACCGGCATTGACACCAACAGGAGCGAGGCCGACAATCGCAACACGAAGGATAGGATTGGCAGCCCACTTGACATCGTCAGAATACATTGTGCGGGAGTTGATGTACAGGTACGGGATCAGTGTGACAGCAACACCGAGCAGAGGCGAGACGATTTCGCTGAAGAAGATGTTGGTGATAGGCGCTCTAGGAATGTCACCGGAGCCTTTCTCCGATGGAACACCGAGAACTTTCCGCTTGTAACCAGTAATGCGAGTACGCGAAAGACGACAGAACCCAATCCAAGAGGAAGCATGGGATCGGGAGTTACCGCGAGAAAGCCAGCGGATGTAGTCGCGGTAATCAATGAAGAAGTCGTTCCAAGCAAACTGGTGTGGGTTGAACAGGAAAGGCGAGATGCACAGCGCGAGGAGAGAAACCCAGAACCAGATCAGAGCGGGACTCCAAACCGTAGTGGTACTGAACAATAGCATGAGCAAAAGGCGAGCACCCAAGTAAATTGAAGGCCCGGCAAATCGTGAGTAGAGGACACCGAATGGGATACGAGCCGTTGCGAAACCACGACCGGTACCAATGTATCGTGCACCTCCGAAAGACAAGTTCTGGTGCACGGCATTGGCGTAAATCTGACAGACGAACACCTCGAACATGAACGAGAAAGAACCGAAGTGCTTGGCCAAACGAGTAGCCATACGCCACACTCCTCTCTCTGTCAACTCTTGGACAGCAAGAGGGACGAAGGAGATGAAGAACACAATGAAAATGGAGATAACACAGCGGTT